AAAAGGATTGCATTACCTTTCGAATGACATCAATCCCACAAAACAGTATTTATAAGGAGATGAGTAATGACCTGCCAAAAAGTACCTAAACTGCCACATTCAGTGGGACCGTGGCCTTAAGCATTCAGACATGATTGGTGGCGAAGGCGTGACTGAAGAACTAGACGAGAGTATGTTCGGTTGGCACAAGTACCATCGCGGGTATTTAAGGCCTGGCCAGTGGGTTTTCGGCGGTGTGGCGCGTCGCAGCGGGTGCTGCTTTCTTGTTCCCGTGGAGACCCGTGACGCTAAAACCCTGCAAGGGCTAATAGCCGAGTGGGTCCGCCCTGGAACAAGAATAATCACTGATTGTTGGGCTGGCTGTCGCAAGCTTGCAGGTGACGCTCGCTTCACGAACCTCACCGTCAACCACAAGCTGCACTTTGTCGACGCGAACACTGGTGCGCACACCAATATGGTGGAGGGCACCTGGGCCCACGTCAAAAACTCTCTTCCATCTGGACGGCGCGAGAGCCACCATTTCACTGGGCACCTTGCAAAGTTTATGTTTTGGAGGAGAGACAAGGCGCGCGGAAACACTGATAGATTCCAGTCGTTCGTCGCCGCGGCCGCCAAAATCTAGAGCCCCGACGCAAACAGGGCGAGGATTCTGACGGCCCCGGTGACTTCGAGGGATCCGCTGCGCTGAGCCCGTCACCCGCCTGCATGCATAAAGACGACTTATGCGCCAACCGCTCGTCAAGTGCTCGTTACGTCAGTTATAGCAGTTATAGGTTCTGGTAGCGGTCTAAACGGTCCTTTTCAGGGCCCCCATATTTTGCAAACGGAGCTGTTTTGAATGCGGCACCCCGTGTCTCTGTAAAAAGTTCACAGGAAAGACCCTTCAAAAGTATGTGGTCCCCAACTTGGATATCAGGTGTTATGATTCAAATAAAAATTGTTCTTGCTTATTTCGCGCCTTTGATCCGAATAAATGCCGCAGTTGCAGTCGTCCCGCGGTGCTGTTGCTCCCCCATTCGCCGTCGGCGTGTCTCAGCTTCGTCGTCTTTGCTAGCAGCGCACCGGCGAAGGCTGCCTTTGATCCGAATAAATGCCGCCGTTGCAGTCGTCCCGCGGTGTTGTTGCTTGCTCGATCGCCGTCGGCGTGTCTTAGCTTCGTCGTCTTTGCTAGCGGCGCACCGGCGGAGGCGGTTGATCTGACACACCGCGTTTGGCTTTGGCTAGCAGACGGCATTCGTAGAATGGCGTCAGCTGTTGCTGGCTTCACGCGGCGGTAAAGTGCGTGCTTCTATTCATTCGGCGTTCGTTGCCATGGTGACGGAGGGAAAAGCAGACGAACTTTATGTTGCGGAAGAAAGTTGCGGCGCAGCGATACCAGGTGCGTTCTAAGCCGGTGTTCTATCTACTTTTAAAAACTGCCTAAAACCACTGGAAATTACTTACGAGCTTCCGGAAGAAAGATCAATCCGATTCCTCGATCTCAGGCTCAATTTACAACACACTCATATATGCTGGAAATATGAGCCAAGGAATAAAAAACCAATTCTTCCGTACAATTCGGCACATTCTAAGCTAGTAAAAAGAGGAATCGTCAAATTATGTCTAAGTAACTCTCTTCAAAAATCTTGCGAGCATTCTATTTCAATAAGCTTCGATGCCCAAATTTCCAGATTAACATCCGCCGGATATCCCACGTCATTATTAACATCGATTGCTGAGAGCATCTTGAAAACAAAAAATACGAGATCATATATCACACCAAGAGCCAGAGAAAGATCTACGAGACCTGTCGTGCTTCCATACTTCCACAGGTTCTCCCATGGAATCAAGAAAATTGCAAACAAGTTCAACATCACTGTCGTCTTTACTGCTCCCAATAAGCTTGGCAACTTGTGTAAACAAGTCAACTCGCCTGATTTCCACCGAACAGTATGCTGCACCAAAAACCATCAGAACAGGTTCGTTGAGTGTGCCGATGAAGTGGTGTACTCATTTCCCCTTTCGTGCGGGAAAGTGTACATTGGTCAGACCGGACGATGCCTTAACGATAGGCTCCGGGAACACAACAACAACAGCTCTAGAGCCAACTCAGGGCATCTAGGCATACACTGCCGGGATTGTGGGTGCGACGTTCACTTGCCATCCTGTACAATTTTAGGCAGGAACAGAAACCAATTAACTCGAGAAATTATCGAAGCAGAACATATCGCCAGGAACTATAACAACTGTATAAGTACACCATCTTTACACCTGACAGAAAAAGAGAAAACATTTTTAGGCATCTAGGAGATCGGTGCGCGTGAATTGGGAAATTCGGTGGTGCTAGAGGTTGAAGAAGACAAAGTTATATAAAAAGAGTTGTCAGTCAGCGCGGTTTGTTTGAATTTTTTCGTGTGTAAGGTGCGAGTGTTATTTGCTATAGTGCGCTGTGGTGTGTGTTATCATGTGCAACCAACTCGCCCAAGCTGCTACGTTCTAAGCCCCTTCCCGCATGCTTTTCAATGGGCGGAAGGCGAACAAAACGAGTTCGAAATAAGGACTTTACGCAGAAGGCTGCATTTCTCCAGCGCCTCATAATTTTACGATCCTTAAAGGGGTCATGAAACAATTTTCCTACTTCTTCCTCCTTAGCTTTAATCGTTTACTCGAATGCGAATTGTGAAATCACGTGGTCGTGACATTCCTTCGGCACCGGTGCGGTGACTCCTACGTTCCATCGTGTTTTTTGTGCACACCATAGAAGTTGTCATTCACCAGTGACAATAAGTTCCGTCAGGGCACACATTGGCCACGAACGCGAATTTGAATATTCGTCAACGGATTGATTGTTGACGAGCGCATACGTCCGAGTGACGCAGCTCTCGTGTCTAATGCGTGAGCTGGGCTCTGCTGACGTCAGTTTGGCGCCGGTGACGCGCTATTGGAACCGCGGATGTATCATAGTGAAAAGGCGGAGAGCTTTCGAAGGCAAGAAGGTACAAAATAGTCCGCTATATTTTCAAATGTTCGTACCGAAAAGCTGGCTTTTGATTTTCTAGCCTCTTTCTTTTGGCCAACTAAACGATATGCGATTAGAAAAGTCCTACACTGTAAAAAATGGACCGTAAAATTTACGGTCAAATACCAGGCAGCTGATGCTGCCAAACTTGTACAGTAAAAATAACGGTGCACTGTAAATCTGGTTTACGATAAATTTAAACGGGGACCGTAGAAATCTACGGTCGGCCTTCAAATTTACGGTACGAAGATTTACAGCGCGCCGTTATTTTTACGGTGCGATATAAACGGCGACCGGAGATTTCTACGGTCACCGTTTAAATTTATCGTAAACCAGATTTACAGTGCACTGTTATTTTTACAGCACAATTTTGGCAGCATCAGCTGCCTGGTATTTGACCGTAAATTTTACGGTCCATTTTTATGCGACCGTAAAGCCTTGAAAACTATGGTACTGGACCCCACCATTATAGCCATTTGAACAAAGTAAAACATACAACGTAAAATAAAAGGTCGGCCGAGTATTTTGAAGCTGTTGTGTTGCACTGTTCAACTGACTTTAATCGCGCATATCTAAAGTGAATAAGCAGATATGCACAGAAAATATTTGTCTGCGGCGAGGTCGGCTGCTCTTGCAGCGCCCGATGCATTAATATTCGTGACCGTGCTGTCAAAGAACAGTAAAAAGATGTTATATCTATTCGCATTTCCATTCATATTCGGACATGTCAGTTAACTGAAGAACCTTTTTGTTTACGTATGATTTCTTGTTTTTTATTCGGGTTTCTCGATCAGGGTTGATCCCAACGACACCTGTAAGAACAGATATACGAAGTCGTTTTTTTTTTGTGTGTGTGTGTGTTTTTTTTTTACAATCTCAGTTCATAACACGCGTTAAAAATAATGAGACAATAAATACCTAAATTGGCTAGTGACTAAAGCTTTTGAAACACTGATCTTCTGAATATGCCTAGGTAGCCTGGCACTTAATCTTGTAAATTAATAAAACTCCCCCATATGAACTTCTAAATTCACATAGTCACTTTTTTACCAAACTCATACCAGGCTAAGGACCGAACAGCCATTCACTGAATTACATATTGTGATGACTTGTAAAATGCAAATAAAGAACGAAAGGAATATCTGCCAGTTCTCAACTATAGTCGTTTATAAAGCAACACATTATAACATTTTACAATTGTAACGGAGGTTGCTATATAGGGAACCGCATTGAGAACTGTAAAATAGATCATTGCTTTTTTTTCCCTCGTTCTGCGCTAATAAATTACTCTCCAATTAGTTGTCTTTATGTTAAGCAACTTGCCTGTCTTGGAATATACACGCTGCTATTATTATGTAACAACAATATTCAATCGAGCCACCTTTAACAAGACCTTTACATCTTCGGGATATTGAAAATGTTTAAGTTCAGAATATATATCTCTACTGGATCCAAAGCTCCAACAGTAGCCCTTGGAACTGATTTATATGTTTGTTCTGTAAAAATTAAAAGTGGAAATAAAAGCCTTGTTATTTTGAATAAATATTTTAAGTCTTTTTGAATGAAGACTAGTCGCCAGTGGCGTCGTGAGGCAGGTACAGTCATTACTTGAAGTATATAGCTCATCCTAAGTTATAACGGGGACAATGCTATGAAAAGATAATTATATTTGAATTTTTTAAACGAAAAGTACCACTCATTAAAATATCGTTTGGTAGCGTGTATTCGCACACTACAAAATATAGTTGAGTAAGCGAAGGACAGGGAACACGAAATAAAATAATCAGACTTGCTTTTTATTCTACACTATCTCACCATAGCATGCCTCTAGCATTGAAAAGAACTCTCGCTGCGCAAGTTTTCATGCAAGCAATGGACATTCTAAAACAAGGAGCTCAATCTGGAGCCATTGCTGAAATATATGCTAGATCAGATGAAGTATACAAAACAACAAACAAAAAACACACGGAATGATGCCAAGAAGCAGAAATGAGCTCAATACCTTTGAATAAACTCCAAGGTGATGCAAATCTCTTCTGTGTACGCAATATTAAAAACGTAGTACGCGCTGAATAGTACAGCCAGTGCGTGGTCGAACATGTGAATGTCGTCCATCACAGTTATTCCATCGATTGAGATCGAGTACATGCTGGCTGAGTAGATGCTTTCCCCTAGAAAAGAAAGGATAAAACAAAAGGCGTGAAGGCAGATAAAAAATGTAGTAAATTGCAGAACTATAGTTGTAGTTCAAAATCATTATAAAATTATAGGCAATATTGATTACTTGGGGTTCGGAAAGCGATCAGTAAATGCTCACCAGGAACTAGAATGTATGGGGGGATGGGTGGTGCATCTTGAATCATGTCAGTTACAGACTGGCCTTACTGACAGGCACCATCACAAAGTTCCTCCAAACCACTGGGTAAGTGGGACTCGCTGCGAGGCTCGATAAATACCTGGCCCATAGATTTGTTTTCTAGGGGTATTTTAGTGCCTCTTTAACGGGGACATGCGGGGCAAACCGGTCATTTTGACCACAACTACGTCCCATGTACATATACTCACCGTTTCCACAGAAGAAAAGTGCTTTCTCAAATATGCAGATTTTATGTGTTCTGGAAGAAAGGTGGTAGCATTCAGGGTCACAACATCACTGTATAATGATCTTATGAACTCAATGATGTTATGAACCTCGACTGAACCAAGCACGTTTTGAGCAAGTTTGCCGAACATGTATTGTTCGTACAAGAAATGCCGACGTTGAAATCCATAAATTGTTTTTTTTAACTGTTGATACCGGCATAAGAAGCTTTCCGTTGACCTTCAGGTACAAAAAAAAACATCAAAAAAACAAGGTCGTATTTTAAGGCCTTTCTTTTTTTCTTCTGCAGACAGGGACATTAACACGTCGTAGTTATTATCAGGGGATTGAATCACGTTAACAGCACCGTCTTCATTAGAATCCGCACTAGTCGACCGAGTCGAAGAGTCCTCAACCTGAAGCGGGCCTGCAGGCGATGCGCCGTTGCCCAAGAAACCTGTCACTCGTAAATGTGCCCAGTTCAAATGTGCCGTGAACTATGATTTCACACCTTCTGACAGTTGGAGCACGAACACGAAACCAAAATACCGTCGGTGATGTGGCCTTTTACATGTTTTAACAAATCCTCCCTTGTGTAACACTCCTCTAAGCATGCTGGCAAAGTGCACTGAAAATTTTCCAAACTCCTCGAAGCAAACCGAACTTACCCTTAGGCGTTCGAATGCCTATGTCTTCTCAAATTATGACACCTGAGAGCATCATACGTAACAAATTAGCGACAGCATCCTTCGTCCACACACGGAAGAATTCGAGAGCTGAAAACGTGCTCATCGAATTGCGCAACCAGCAAGCGTGCTCGAACAGAAACTACAAATTCTGCAAGTAAACATATTTTAGTGTGTTGTATTTATGCCACCGTTATACTATCCTTGGCAAGCAAGCAGCAGATTGATAATGAAATACCTGTCTAGAGTATCCAGTTGCTTTCTGCTCCAAATTTTCAAGTGCACAAAAATCCGGGAATGCCACGAACGAACGACGACAAAATGGCGCGGAGACGGGCGGTGAGGCGGAAAAATGAACCGAACGTCCGCTTCTTCCACTTCTTCCCGCGTTGTCCCAACCAACGCTGCTTTCTTATGTCTACCCTTCTAGCTCGTTGCATTGTTGCTCTATTGCTTGCTTATAGTTTTTTTTTTTTTTTTTTTTTTTAGTTAAGGCAGTTACGTTCTGCGTTGGCGCGGCTGGCGCGGCCAAAGAAAGGAGGTGAAGGGGCGAGAGGAGGCTTTCTGGGTTCCCGCAGCTTCCGAAGGTCAAGCGTGGTGACCAATTAGCGATGCGCGTCTTTTCTTTCTGTTTTCTTGCTCCATGAAGTTTTGCGTTTCCCTCTCGCTCTTTTTGCTCGTTTACGGTGCATTTCAGGTAATTCCTCTTCACAGCGTACTTGCAGTTTTTATTAGCGTATAGCGCCGTAAATTTGACGGTTATTTTTTACAGTGTAATTTAAAATCATTCATCCTAACCCAAAATTCGTTTCATGGCCCCTTTAAACGAAAAACGCGTTTTTTTGGCCATCCCGCGTGCTGTTTTTTTTATCCGCTACATGGGTCTAAAGTATCAAACTGCCTAAAGAGTCATGCACGGCGCCTGTTTCATATATGAGCGCAAGGGTGCCATCGTTTGCGCTTTGCCTATGATGACAACTGGCCATTTTGTTCCGAACGCTTATTTTTCTTTTGTTCTGAAGCATATGAAAGGGCATCTCTCTGCACGCGCTCTTGGCGTTGGTTGTGCACCGGGAACATTTTGTTTTCGGAGATTTTATTGGTATTTTTCTATGTGAGCGCGCGCTGTCGGCATTGGATACCACAAAGGGTGTAGTCACCCTAAACATGAGGATAATTGCGGCACCCTTGTGTGCGAAAAGCAAACATCATTTCAACGAATTCCTCCGCAAAACGTTTTTCTTTAATCAGTTAATCACTACGTTAGGAAAGAGCCAATCAAGCAATCAAGTCAAAAATGTATCGTCACGGCGCTCGTTGCCTTTGCTATCACTTAAATGATATCGGATAAAAAAAGGCTATCGCATAAAAAAACTGCTATCTATATATAATTTAAGACTTGTCTTTCTCTATCAACTCACAATAAAATATTTTCCACGAGTACAGTTCGATCAGGCACTTCTATATGACGAACAATAACTTATTCAAAAGCCAGGTTCATTTAGTGGCGACTGAAGTGCAAAAATGTCTCCTTAGAATCAGCTGAGTTGTGTATCCCTAAGTTTGTACATTTGCCGATTTGTGAAAATCATTCGCCCGCTGCCCGTAGCTTTGGATCCTTCTCTGGAGTGGATAGTGTGGCTTTTGAAAAGGGTCTATTAACCATTGCCTGACTTTAACAGAAAGGTACCGAACAAAACAGCTTGAATATTTTAATAAATGTATCTCTCCTTTTTTTTTTATTCTTTTCTTTTTTAATGTAAACTCATACAGAACCCCAATTCTGAGAAGTGCGCTGGCCTAACTCGGGCCCAACGCCCTCAACGCGGTGTCCAAAAAAAGCATGGTGCGTGCTTATACGTTTCATCAATGCGGTACCGCGGTCAGAAGAAGGGACGCGGACGACTCGGGAAATACCTCAAAGGTGGCCAGGCTGCAGCGCTGAATTTATGACTTCAACTACAAGAGGCCAATGCGGACCCGGATTACATACGAGTGCCGCGTGAGCGTTCGGCTGGGAGTCTCGTCCAATCAGTGAGAACACGAGTCCCGGCCGAACGGTGACGCAGTACTCGCGTCCAATCTCTGTCCCGCACTGGCCTATTTTAGGTGACGTCGACGATTCAGCACTGCGGCCTTGATATTTTTGGGGGTGCTCGTTGTCTTGGGCCGTCACACGTTGGTGCTCGAGCTCGAAGCAGACGACGCGTCCGCGCGCGTCGTCTGGTAGCGGGCGGCGCACTTGAAGAGCGCCAGGGTCAAGCTGTCGTCCTTGAGGAGCGTCTCCCAGGCGTCGGACGCTTGCACCTCGGGCAGGTGGGCGTCGATGAAGCGCGCCGAGTCCCGGCTCAGATCTCGGTCGCTGTGCCGGACGGCCAGCTCGAACACCCGCAGTGCGTTGTCTGGCGTCAGCGCGTTGGACAGCTGCCGCGCGCAAGCCTGCTTCACCTGCACGCATCACCGTAAAGAGGACAAACTTTCTCCGTGGCTAGACTTCGACGTGCAGCGAATCATCTCAGCACACGTGAGAAGGTCTGACTCAAAACCTTCCTAAAATGGATTAAAGGTTGAAAGAGATTCGAGACCACCGGCAAAAAGACGCCAGGGTCGGCGTCCTCATCTTGCAGACGCGGCCGCGGCTACGGCCAAGGAAGTACCTAGCGTCCCTGTTCTAACGGCGGAGGAATCCGTATCACTTCAAGCACAAAAGCATAACTTCACTCGCAGAAACTGACTGCAGGGACTTTCAAGTGGAGTCCAATTGGCCGCCCCTTTATACTGTAGGAACGGCAGGTAAAGTTAGGGCCAGGGAGGGTAAATATGAGCCAAAATAAAGAAAAACCACGCGAGATAAAAGCGGCGGCAGTATATTTATTTTCTTCCGCCAGCGACGGCGGCTCGCGCTTTCTGCTGTGGTCGAGGGGCTAGAGCGCCGACAGTGACCTGACGTCGCGGCGTGAAAGTCCCGGGTTCAAATCGCGCCAAAAACTCTCTCTTCTTTTTGTTTTGTTTTTTTCATGCATTTGACTGCACTCCCACTAAGAATGTAGGCAAGGCCCTATGAGCTCTATAAAATCATTGGGCTGGTAGTTCTGACTCACCAGTTCGTTGTTCTTGCATGACCTCGGAAGAAGGCATACATGTCTCTGGCTTTCTTTACCAACTTCCCCCACGCCCCCTGCATCTGCCGTACACTCCGCGGAGAGTTGACAATATCTTCCCATGCCCGTCTCTTCGTTCACCAGGTAACTGTGCTGCTAAATTTCTCTAGAATTTGTTGTTTCCGTTTTCCAACTGCCCTAATTAATTCCATTTGTTGATCCAAATTCATTTTAGGTGTTCGGGTTAGAGATATGGTTCGCGATGTCGACGCCTGATTCATTTTTGCATTCGGTTGTGATCGTCTGCTATTCTAACTAAAATTCAACAAGTAATGTGTTAATATTACAAAACAATTTCCCCAGCAAAATGTAAAAAGTAAAAATACACCTTTTTTCACATTCCATGCAAGTAAAAGTATGATCTCTTTTATTTCGGTTTTACTACTTTCTCAAACGTTTGACTTGCTGCCTTGCCTGTAGGATTTCGCTCGATCAATGCATCCACGGCTGCTAGTCTTTATTACTTTTTGCTTATTTTGTGGAAGTTTTTTTTTAATTGTCACAACTGCAGTTTTCATTAGTACTAAATAGGCGTCTCCTGTTATTGAGAGGAGTCGTAGCAAGAGCGTTGTATATTTAAAAACACATAAAATTATAGTTTCTGGGGAAAGGATGCTTGTTTCGGCTCCGTTCGTGTGAAAGCCATACGGATACTGTTACCTTGGTTTTCTTTTAATGAACATTATGAAACGATTGTATTAGAGCGTTAACTTGATCTTTTTTTTTCTCGGTGTTTCGATTGAACAGGTGGGACTAACAGTAAAAACAGTGTAAGGCGCAGTAGTGCAAGTGGATGATTCGTAAAAAGGATTACAGTTAAAAAATGAGATACGCACAAAATACAAAAGAAAAAGCTCCTAGCGCGATTTGAACCCGGAACTTTCACGCCGCGTCGTCAAGGACCGGCGCTCTAACCTCTCGACCACAAGCTCAAGATTACCCCCAGAAAACCGCCGACGACCAGTGGATTGAACTATGGAACTCCCCACCACCAGAGTCTGGAACATAGTGAACACACTGCTCGACAAAAAGAAGCCAAAACACTCATTAGAAACAATCAAACAAGGCTACAAAAATGAAGAGTTGGCCGACCAAACTGACACCACCCCAAGCAAAGTCCTCCCGAAGGCACCCCAGCGTCGCGTGTTAACACCCCCCCCTCCCCCCCCCCCCCCCCCCCCCCCCCCCCCCCCCCCGACCCCCGCGCGCTCGCTTCGCGGCGACAGTCTGCGGCGGTTTAATTACAAAAATGTGTGTAAACGCCGCTTTGCGGCGGCCGACTATTCGCTGAAGTGGTTTTCGCTGAAACGTGGGCGTTCACTAAAACGCCATTCGATCAAGTGAGTGCCTCCCGATGGGGCACGGGCATCAGCACGACAGCGGTTACGAACCACGTGGGTTGCGAATGAGACGCAAGACGTGCTCGTGCAGCGATGCGAGGCTGCAGCCCAATGGGAACTGCCTTGACGACGCCTAAAGAGTCGATCGAATAATGCTGCCGTAATATGAACCTGAGAAACGCCGTATTTATCAGCTGCGGCGTAGAGGTCCGCCGCTCCATGCACGAGCCCGGACAGGGTGCCGGCGTACAGGTATTCGACGAGCTGTCGGACGGCCTCGTACGACAGGTCCTCGATGACAATGACGCGTCCGGTCGCCTCGCGGGTCTCTCCGGTCAGCATGGCGGCGAATACGGGAGACAGACGACCCAGAAGGTCGGAGTGCGCGCGCAGCGAGCGCTGTCCGACGCGGATCTCCACGTCTCCGAAGCTGGCGCTGTCCAGGATGCCTGTCCAAGAGGGTATCGGTTTTGGGCTTCAGATGACCGACTAATTGAGAACCATCCTTTCTGAACCTATTAAATCTCTTTGCTGCGGTTTTGCAGGCAAAAGTGACGTTTCGCAGGCAAAAATGACCAACGAACCTTGTTGCGTTACTGATTCCTCGTAACAGCCACACGCATGGCTTGCACGTGAAATCATGACTGCATGCACGGTCATCCTACTTATTCTTGCCGAGTAGAACAAACCCGATGGTACGAAATGTAGATTGCTGTGTTTACGCAATCAGCGGCAGGACCGCCTGATCTACGTTACGTGAATGCTAACCGTGCTAGATAGCTTGCACTGACTTCACATCAGATGCATTGTGGCAGCCTTGCTGCCGAGTGCGTATACCTCCTGGAGCACACATTTCGCGCTACTGAACGTGTTTTTCTCTTCAAGAACAAGTACGAATGATTACCAGCATGATACGATGATGTCACGTGTAAACCATACATAATACAGCGTGCAAGTTCGTGTGCTCCATGCGCACCTCGTGCGTTTGTTTACCCCCGACCTCAACCAGTGAGGCAGCTTTCCTCCTTCGTCACGACGCATTCTCTACGCGTTCTTCGTATGCCCTTTGATTGGGATGCCCCTTCTAGCGTTTCGATGCGCCAAAAACGCCTTTTAGTACACTTGCTCGCCGTATAAGCAGTTATCCCACCAAATACAGGCCTCGAGGGTGACGTCATACCAGCCGCCATTCCTCCGTACCATTCCTGCGCCCGTACCTTCAGAAGCACACATTTGGCAATATCGAATTTGTTATTCTCGGCAAGAAGGCTTGCCGAGAAGACGAAATTCGATGGTGCCGAATGTATACTGCAGAAGGCGGCGTGCACCGGAGCATGGTCCGGAGCAATGGCGGCTGATGTGACGTCAATGCAAGCCATGTATAGCTCAGCGCCATTACCCGGCAGCAGCCCTAGGAGAGGGGAACCCGGCGGCTCGTCGGGCCCACCGCTGCGGTCCGTCATGTACTCGAACTTGAAGAGGACGATCAGCGAGAAGCGGTCGTTCTCTTCGGTACCGCATGCCGCCGAGGCCAGCACCGCGTCGTTGCTTGTGGTGGCCGCGCCGCCGCCTCCGAGCAGGGCCTTCTTCTCGCAGGTGATGCGCGCCGCCGCCTTGGTGTTGCAACTCGTCTGGGCGATGTCTCGGCCGGTCGGGTCTCGCAAAGCCAGCGAGAATGAGCCCTGCAGCGCACGACATCCCGGGGCTTCAGTCTTGTATAGGCCTTGCTAAGGCGTCGTAATCGGATTATGGCCGCGCCCAAGAGCGCACCCCACTGAGCAAGATGGTGGCACCCTGAGACCGGACTTGCAAACGTGTATAGACATGTATTTGCGGTAAACAGCTCGCTAGGGGCGCTTCTGTTTTCCGCACTATAAGCTTAAAGCCCCTTCATGTTTCAAAAGTAGCGCAATTTGCGTCGATGCACGAGACACGTGCAACGTGCAGCCCTTGGGGAGATCATGGCGGCACAGCGCAGCACTGAGTTAGATTCAAGCGCCATTTTCTTCCCATAAGTGGCGCGCGGCGCGTGTCTCGAGCATTTGTACAGTAATGAATGGCGCCACTTTTCCAAGAATAGAGGGGCTTTACCCCACTATGGGTAGTGCACGTGGCTGTCCACGCGGTTATGTTTTAATTTGCATGGTACATAGAAGCTTGGCATTGCGCGCGCTTGCACCAGCAGAGGAAGTTGAAGTATCCTCACTCCGGGTTGGGAAAAAATTCCGCCAGGCGGCGATACCCGAACTTCTCGCCGCGCATAGACGACTGCAAGCGAGGCGACTGGTCGCCGCCATGTCTCTGTGCTCGTGCAGGGAAGCCCGAGCAATTGCAAGCTTGTCAAAGCTGTGTTCACGCGCAAGTTGCATGTGTTGCACGCATGATGGTGCCCCATGTGTGCAAGCATGGTTCACTGTGCACGTGGGAGTAACTTCGACAAGCTTGCACTTGCACGGGCTTGTTCGCGCGAGCAGAGATATAGCGGTAGCCAGTCGCCCGGCTTGCAATCGTCTATATATCCGCGTGTTTCTGCCAATACATTAAAATATTCCTAAAACGTGTTGAGAGAGAAAGAAACCCCTTTTGGGGAAGAAACTGCCAGCCGCGACTGACGTCAGCAAAGAAAAACAACTAATTATCAAAATAGTGACCTAAAATGTAGTCATTCTAGATTGTGTTTTTTTTTTTTTTTTTTTTTTTTAGTTAGTGAGAATAAACACATGGTTCCAATCAGAAACTTGCTGAGCATCATCGAGACCCGTTTCGGCTCGTGCAGCAGGCGAAAGGCTGGCAATGCGAAAACACGGGTGATAAGGAAATCATCCGCGCCTTTGCGCAGCCAGCCTTCCGCCTGCCGCACGAGTGGGAACCTCAGCGCACCTCCAAGCTTCCCGCGTGCTTCGAGTCTTCCTAAAACTGATTTAAGAGTTCTTTCGATGACGCTCGGCAATTTTCTAATAGACCGATCTCACCAGCTAGTTTGAGTACGTCACCGCTGCCGACATGCATCGTGGGAGCTGTAGTCTTTCTGCACGCGCGACAACCCTGCTGGAGGTCTGCGCGAGCAGAGCACGAGGCGGCATCAGCTCTCTCGTGAACTGGCGTCTGCCTCCTACGAACTACAGTTATGGGGGCGTCACGCATGCGTGGAACGCTTGGTGGGATCGGTCTATTGGAAACGGTGTTGTTGTTTTTTCACTACATACAAAGTAAATTTGAGGCAATTATTTTGCTGATTAGTGTGTCTTTTTTTCTCTTTTTTAATTCCGGACGTCCGCTGAGGCAAGAAATTTAATCCCCAAAAATGTAACTTTTTTTTTTTTTTTTTACTGGAACAAATTGTTGGCCACGGCGAGCGTCAGGGATTGCGAAGCTTTTAGTAGCACTAGTGGTACACACCGCACGCCGGTACGATGCTCGAAGCACGTGGGGAGAGCGGGGATGCATTAAAACATAGCGTCCTCTGTTCTCACAAAGCCTGGCAGTTTGACGGCGGAGCCATAGAGTGTCTGGTCGCAAATTTGGAGCGCGAGGATCTGGTAGCACAGAGTATTTCTCGGGGAACCTGGGGCCCTATGTCGCGCTTTTTGGACTCCCGCGGCGACTAGGGAGAAGGAAGTGACGTCAACAACGCAACGGGGCTCTCGCTGAAAGTGTGGTCGAGGAGTTTGGAATAGTATCCCAATAAATTTTGCCTCAAGTTATATAACGTCCAAAATGACGTAAAGAAATAATGTATCTATGTTCATTAAATAAACAGTTGCTAATGAAATATCAGAATTTCCATCAACTGTGATATTTTCTCCGCGACATTATTATCATTCGGTGGAACCTACGTGCTCGTTGGACCAGTCATATGCGTTAATCTTCCTCCTCGTTATCCCGCGCTCGCTTATACCCACGCGCACAAAGAGAGAAGTCAGGAGATCAAACGGAGGCAGTTGATTGGTCCGGCGAGCGCGTAGCTTCTACCGCATTCACTGGACGCCATATAGGAGGACGATGTTTAGAGCGCATGCTCAGAACGAGCTTAGGCTGCAAAGACCGGCAATTTTGATGGCGCGGAAGACACGTTGTTAAAGAACTGTGGTAGCTCTCCGTCAGCACGTAGTTAGCATTCGCGGACACAGCTATGACCGCCAATCATAGGGTGTTTTCACTAACGTCATTTTATCCACCATTTTGTTGTTAGGAGCAGCATGGCGCGTGCCAAAGGCGAACGTTTGAAGGCATTCTACACCGTCAAATGCGTAGTGCACTGGGGCCTACAGGTTTCACCGGGGAACGTGTAACAACAAAATGGTGGACTGACATCACGTGAAAACATTTACTACGCGCTGATTGGCGCACTGAAAAGAAAGACAGGCTTGAAAGCAAAGAGCGCGGCCTCCCTTCCGCGTAGGTACCTGAAGAAGGCTCTTGGTCTCGACGAAGACGGAAGCGTTTTCGTAGCCGTAGTAGTCCACGTCCGTGGTGAGCCACAGCTGGAACCGGGGCTCGTCCCACTGGGCGGGAAACAGGGTACTGCACAGGGACACCTTGCTGCGCAGGCGAAGCCGGCCGCAGTTATGCACCGTCCACGTGTGCGTGATGGCGTGCGAGTGCAGGTACGTCTCGCTGGACGTTGACGAAGACATGACACCCAACCTGTGCGACGCGCCCCTGCGGCATTGCGGAGACACCCGTATTGCACGGAACAGAGGGATAAAATATTGATGAGCCAAATCGAAATAAACTGCGTTTATCCATCATTGAAACGAGTTATCCTCAACTTTTTTCTCATTAAAACAAAGAAAAGTGGCCAAAAAAATTGGTTTGTGTGCATGAGCGTAGAGCTTGGACTGCCTCAACGGGCGACGAGTCTCCCAGTTGTAGATGAGAAAAGTGGAGAATACTCACGAAGAGTGCCTAAGGTAGAAAGCTTCTGTTCTTAGACAAAACAACCGAGAGAAGCTATAGCTTCAGTGGTGGCTTCGCGGCAGCTTGACGCTCTGCATTCGAATATCACAGCCTTCCACGCGCAAGTTCGTTCGCATCAAAATCGGTCGTGGTCGCGAGGTAGTCTTTTTTCTCTTCTCTTTTTGTTCGTTCTGGTGAGGAAGCATGAGCCCGACTGGACATCGACCGGCGCGCCAGCGGCAGCTCGGGCACTTGTTCCTGGACCGAGAACCGCGATGGACGCACCGTCCACACTGTAAAGACGGCAGTGAAGCTTGTATTTATCAGTATCACTAGAGCCACTAAATGAGCTGCGCTTGGAGTATCGGCACTCTGTTCCCCGGCATTGTTGTGGGCGCCGCGATTTTGGTGCTTGTGCAGAGCAGACGCAACTGCCGATCGTCATGATTCAAAAGTGCGACTTCCTCAGAGTTATTTCGAATTCCACAGGGCGTTTTGGAGCGCGCCGGGATCAGTTGACCAGATCCGGACTGGAGCAGACGATCCGAACGGGGTCGCGCCGCTTACGGATCCCCTGTGGAACATGACCACTGCTCCGGAATCGGCGGATGCCTTACCGTCATTCAACTGCCCGGGAATCCCCTTTCCGCGGACGCCGCGGTCGTTTCGAGGACGTTTTCGCAATCGCGGCGCTAACAGGTGTTCGACGCACGAGCGGCAGGAATGGCTCAGGCGCTTCTAGCAAAGATTGCCGAAATGCCCGTAGCGCGGCAAATACCTTCTCTTCTCCTTCCTGGAAAACGAACCGGCTGTCAAGCCAAGGGGTAAGCAAGCGGCCATTACGAATTCTCCTGATGTCCAGACAATCTAGGAGCCCAGCCCGCGACGTGCTCCTTCTTCTTAGGCGAGATGGGCGAGATCAGGCGAGATGCCCCACGAGAAAGGAAGTCACGTGTGTGCGCCGAGGGCTGGCCCGGCTGGCTTCAGGTTGAATCCGCCGAAATCGTGGGACCGACTTTTCTCGGATTCAGATCGAGATCTGGAGAGGGAGCTAATCCAAAACGACCCGTGAAACACGTCGGTCTCGATCCCGATCGCCCAGTGAAATAGGCTCGCTACAGAAAAGTCGATCCCGGCGCGTTCCAAAACGACCAGTGGAATTCGCCATTAGATTCGGTGTTCGGAAGCTCGTGTAATGCTACTTTGCCCTGTTGCGAACTGTTTCAACATTTGTGGAGGACGGAAAAGCGTTTCCTGTGATTTCAAATTACCTTCAGATAACTGGAAATCATGATATTAAGCCACAACATGGGCAAGTGTCGTTTCTCTGAAGCGCATCTTATTTAGTGGCACTAAGTATTACTATGCTGCACGGGCCGCTTCCTGAAGCACAGGCCCGGCCGGTGCCTGGCGTCATGGTAATCCACCCGCCCGGGCCCAGCCCAGGGGTTTTAAACCGGGCCCAGGCCCAGCCCGAGTCCGAGCAATTTTTACGTCATCCGGTCCGTCCCGGCCCGGTCCGCCACCTTTCAGAAGAGGCCCGCGCCCGTCCCAGATCCGAATTCGACGTCATGTCGTCAAAACTTCACCGCGTAGTACGAAAGTATTGGGCAATGTAATTGTATGCAATTAGTGCGACCGTTGGAGGTGAACTGCTGGTACGCAACTTGTTTCCTTGTATGGCAGTGCCTGACGGAGCTACGAACAACACGTGTAAATTTAACTAGGCTAGTCAAATTTTGGTACCAAGTCTTTATATTCACCTAATTAATAAGATAAACGTGGTAAAGATGAATGGCGAGAACCAAGTTACCAACAACTCCAACCTTGATTTTTTTTTTTTTTTAAGTGCATTAAAGAAATTTTTTAGATCGTCTGCTCTTGGTGACGGGATCTTAGCATCACAGAAATCGAAAAATTATGCTCGTGCGACGTCTATGTCCCTACTAATAAACTTTCAGCCTTTCCATTCTGGTAAAGAAGGAAGACCATCGGAGCTGTACAATGAAAAGTAATGGCAGGCCGCAAGTCGGCAAGCCAAAGTGGAAAGGCTGCCGCCATCTATGAGTGACGGCAGAAACCACATACGTGGCTTGCCGCCGTCGCTGATAGATGGCGGTAGGTGTTCAGAGTTCGGTGTCTTCATTTCTTTGTGGGCGACACGATCCTGGGGAAACTAGCCCTTAACAGCTCCGCTGTAAAATGTGATCGAAATCAGTGTCACGCCTTTTTCTGAGCGGAAAACTCTGGAGCACAGAATCCAGCGGAGGCGCCGGCGGCGTGGCAATGGGCGCGCGTCAGCCGGTCCGCGCGCCACGTCGACTAATACCCTTTTCAAAAGTCAATCGAGCAACATTGGCGGTTACCGCTGCTTGCTCACGAGGGGCGGGGTTGGGTCCGAGTCCTCGCCGAACGCTGACGTCACACTCGTGTTCAAGGCGAACTGAGCCGAACACACCCTGAGCGCAGACGCAGCCCTCCTGTCCAATACATGCTCAGAATATGTGAGCAAGCAATGGCGGACAGGCATTGGCGCGGTCTTTTGAAAAAGGTGAGCCACGCTATCTGACTTAAATAATGCCCAGGGTGGAAAAAAAATCTTGATTTAAACAAAGAAGAAATCATGTTTATTTTATTCAAATCAGATATTTTTATTTAAATCGAACTTATATTACTTAGCTTCAGCTAGAAAATAGTGAATTCGTTATCACTAGAAGTGCTTTCTTTAATCATCTACCTGATATAAATCGCTCCTGCTTCATCATTCACTTTAAATGCAAAATAAATGCTCATGGGAAGCAGACGCAAAGAAAATAAAAAAAAAATATAAAATATTTTCAGTGTTGTTTATGGGAGAAAGTATTTGATTTAAATCATCTTAACCAAGTCGGCTCAATTTAAATATTTATTTAAATTATCTAAATCACGATTTAAATCATTTCGATTTTTATTCTCGACCCTGGTGATGCCCGGGTGATCGGTGGCCGAGTGGGCTGGCGCACACTAAAGTCCCTCGATAAAATTCAAGCTTGGCGTTTCATCTCTTTTTTGCCACTCAGACGTGATTGTAATTGTGTTGTGCGTATGTGTATACAGCCTTAAGTTAGTCAGCCCCAATGGACAGGGGCTCCGAAAGTATATCTGATGTGTGGGGGCGACGTCTGGGGGCTCATGTCGCATCGTGTAGTTTACCACTCTCTCTCTCTCTCTCTCCCTCTATCTCTCTGTATATATATATATATATATAGGGTGTTTCAGAGAACTCAGGCCAAATCGCTCCTGCGAAAATTACTCATCGCAACAAAAAAAAGGCCTGTGTCGTTTTGGTCCTGGACCAGGGGCCTATATACGAAAATTATTAAAGTCCGGGATAATTAGATTGTTAATTATTTTTGCGTAATTAACTTTTTTAATATTGTGTTTAAGGGCTTGGTTTCAATTAGAAAATTGTTCAGCATCATCAAAAAAACACGAAATCAACAAATTGCAGAACGATAAAAGGTACGCGAAGCATTTTACGGCTTTCTGAAAAACCGCACAAATTCGACGAGTTTTTAAGTTTCGGTTTACTACCGGAGCGCATCTCGGCCCGGGCGACACCGCGCCCCGTGGAGAGATAGTGCAACCAGCCTCTGCTGCGCCGTCATCGCGCGACGCAGCAGAGGTTGGTTGTACTATCTCTCCGCGGGGCGCGGTGCCGCCGGGGCTGAGAGATGCGCTCCGATAGCAAACCGAAAAAAGAGTTTAAAGGGATACTGAACACGAAATTTCGAGCTCACAAAAAAGGGCTGAAGCGATAGGCGGGACGCTGCAGAACCTCAAAACACCACTCATACAGCGGTATCTCTAACGGATGGCCGCATATCTAAAATAGAAATGCGCGATTGAACACGCCGACGAGGCCGTCGAGACATGTGACGTCGCGATTCTCTTTCCCTCTCCTCCTCTCTACGTCCCGTCGAGCTGGTGAACCGAAGCGAGGAGGAGAGAAACGAGGCGGCTTCCCCTCATCCTCAACTGTTCCAGGAGGATCGTGACGTCAGAGACCTCGCTTGATCGCGCCCCTCTTTTCCGAAAATACGGCCATTCGTTTGAGATATCGATGTATGAGTGAAGTCTTGGAGTTCGTAGAGTCCCGTTCAACGCTTCTGCGGTCTTATTTTGCTAAATCCAAATTTCGGATAAAAAAATAAAGAGTGAGGCTTTTTTTTTATATTGAAGTTTAATTTTGCAACCTTTACAGAAATAAGCCTCGTTTTTGCATTAATAACATAACTACAATAATGAACAAGCATAATTTTCTTATATATTGGTGAAATGCATTTAAAAATGATAATTGTTATGAATTTTGCGTCGTTTTATATGAAGTAGTTTGTTGGTAAATAATTTGTGAATGCGTCTCTAAAACGTGTTCATTGACGTGTTTCGTAATTTCATTTTGGCATAGAAATATTTCATTGTAATTTTTTTAATATTCTGTTTACATGTCGCAAACCTTTTTATAAAATAAATACTTACTTTATAATTTTATAATATTTTATTTTTTTTTATTTTTACTACTTAGTGAAAATGATTACCACGTGCGGGTTTCGGTGTGAAATTGACGGCTGTGCAAATTACGATAGCGAAACCTTGGCACTCTCCACGCCTTGAGTTTCGAAATTTTATATCTCCGGAAGAAAATGAGCTACGACGTTCGCGTTTAGCGGAATACTCATTTCAAGAACATGGATTTAACATATCTTTTTTACTTAAACATAAAACAACCTGACCCGGATTATCATTTCATGATCTGACGTGGATACGCCCCGTTTGTTCGTACTGATTCCCAATTGGAGCCAGTTGGTCCCAGTTGAAATTCCAACTGGTCAGATTGGAAAATATTCGCCCGAGGCCGTTTAGATGTCCACGCATCATACCGGACCGGCATAAGTTTGTGTATCGCGGTGCTTGTTGAACGCCCCCGAACCAGCTGTAAACTGTATTCGCAAACTTTCTTATTTCAAGTAACAATGTCAACGAAGGTCATGCTGTTTGGACATCTGACGTCAAAGTTGTGTTTGTTTTGTTTTGACCCGGATGGACCATCATAGCGTCGTGCGTTCGTGTAGTCGCTACTGCTTGATGCACGGGGTCCCATATACACCACCATGAAGTTGTAGAGCAATGGCCTAATCTTCAGCGTGAACCTATTTGTCGCCACACAGACCGACCTCACGCTGTGTAAGCATGTAACGTCAAATCTGCTTTATGTTTTTACCCGACTGATCTACTTCCAGCACCCATCAGGGACATGGACTTCCTTTCATGTTCCGCTGAAGGAGCGTACGCCCACTTCCACGGGGCATGGAGGAGCCTCAAGAGCTCTTTAGGGAGTACAGCCGCCTGCTCTCCTCGAGAAAATACTTGTAAATTTGTAGCTTCGCCTGCCTTTGTGTCGCCTTGGCGCGTGCCGAGGTGGGGGCTGCGGTCGTGGGGTCGCGACTGTGGATAGCTCACGGCTCGGGCGCCCGCTGCGTGATCACAGCTGTCCTTCCGACTCCTTCGCCATCGTCCGTGTCCGCAGGTGGTCATGTTTTCCCCTTCTCGAAGCGGCGAAGCCTGGTTTGTTTGTTTGTTTGTTTGTTTTTTCTATTGGTTACGAGACGTTTTGGTGGCGCCACCTCGGGCGCCCTCCTGTGACGGAGCTGGTAGGATGCGAGCCGACGACGCGCTATGTCGAAGCACGGAGTGGCTATGTTAGTCGCATCTATGCCGATTGAAATCGGTTTATTTATTAAAGAATCCTCTAAGAAGTTTTTGTGAGTGATCTTTCTAATCAATAACAACGCCTCAAAATTGCTTTTCGTATAAAAAAAACTTTTAAATGTTTTAAAACAAGCCTGGATATTCACAGCCTCTCTAATTGTTTTTTTTTTTTTTTTTTTTTTTTTTTTTACAGCGGGGCTGTTAAGGGCTAGTTTCCCTAGAATCGCGTTCGGTACCAAACAAATGTCGACACCCGTGGTCGACACAACACTCTGGTTGCCGCCGTCGCTCATAGATGGCGGTAGCTGTCCAGAGTGCTGTGTAGGTAGGCTCAAGTGAAGTGGGCACTACTCAAATCCTGGAGGGCGTTTGCAATTTAAAGGGATACTTCAACGAAATTCGAAATATTCCCGTCGTGTTCAAAAATAGGTTGAATATCATCCACAATATCCGTAAATGACAATCGCGCGTTTGTATTTTGATCCTGGTGGCTGTATTTTTCGTTATAAACGGCCCACTCTGGCAATCGCTCGGAGAAGGCCCAGCTTAGAGCACGTGACATCCAACGCAATCGTGACGTAGGTCGTCTCAAGACGAGCAAAGCTACGGCGAGGCTGACGTCGAGAGGATGGCCTAGTCGTTCCAGCCGCCGAAGCGGCTGCTTTTGTACGAATTTTGAGGGACGGGCTAATCTTCTATAATCTTCTAGGAAGACAATAGCGACTTCTGCGACACACAATAGGGATTCCCGGGAAGAGGGGAGTTCCTCCTTCCCCCCTTCTCTCGTCGTGGCCGGAGACGAGACAACCTCCGTCACTAGCAGTCAAGGTTCCTAAACGAGCATTACAAACGAGGCGTTAGCGACATCCACGAGGTGCTCTTTGCTAATCGTTTAATTCGTTTTAAAATTCCTTTTCGAGACTTTTTTAACGAGATATTGGTATGTTCCATGTGATACTGCTTTTTTGAACACGTATAGACCAAAAAATGAGCGCCGAAATTTCGTTGTAGTATCCCTTTAACAGCGGCGCTTGAGGGAGAAGATTGGGAAAGGATATTCGCCAATGTTGCCCGCACGAGAGCAGACGCCCGCTCTGTTGCAACTCTGTCGCCCCATGCGCATTTCCTCCTCTCGCCTCCCATTGCAAACAACGAACGCCTTGGCGTAGCCTTTCTCGCTTTCTTCTTGCTCCGGGAATCGCAAACGTCGAGAGGAGAAAGCAGGGTTGCCAGACAAGCAGCAGCGTCCAAGATGGCGGAATTTACCATTTTTCTTGTTAAACAAATACTTAACCTATCGGAACAAAACTGGTGACTATATAAAAGTAATCATTTATACCTTGCGTTTTTATTTAGTGACTCTAGTCCCCTGTAGTTCGCACACGCCGCCATATTGGGTCCTCGCCTTCCTATCTAGCCTCGCCCGCTGCTGAGTGAGTACATGAATCTGTGCAAATATAAATTATTATAATAATTACAATACCACCAGAAAGCTTTGTTACACTTAAGCGCAGATTATTTTGATAGTCACGCCAATGTAGTAAATTAAGTGCGCAGTGGGTTATTAAGATGAGGATCGCTTTCAAACTAGGGGTGTCGCGAACCGGCCGCGGGTCGAGTTCGACCAGGTTCGACTTTTTCGAACTTTTAGTGGAAAGTTCGTCGAACCTTGTATTGAGGTTCGACTCGTGTGCGCATGCGCGACAGGCTGGCCAGTTGGCTTCGGATTGGATGGTAATGGCTAAGAGATGAATTAGGTGCAGCGTTGATCGGCTATTTCAGTCAATACAGTACTAAAATTTAAGTTATTAACTTCTTCAGTGAATAGAATTAGTTTCTTTTAATTGCAGAAATAAAATAAAATAAAATAACCCTTCCCATAAAAAAAAAAAAAAAATTCTCCAAACCTAGACATGTTTGTATCAAGGTCTGGCCACACTGTCCACAAAGTCGAACCGGTCGAATCTGGTGAAAAGTTCGAAGGGGAACCCCGAAAGTTCGACCAAAAAATCTGGTTCGACAAAAGTTCGCGACACCCCTATTTCAAACCTTGTTTGTTTAATTTTGAGGCATTCATTGTAACGGATGTAGCAGTTTTTTATTTTAATTTTTAGTTCGTGTTCGCTTCCTAAAGCGTTGAAGTTGCATGTGGTGGGCCGGAGCAAAGCATTGACTGTGGAGAGATCTGCCGTTTGCTTCAAATTGTCTTCCGAGAACTACAGCGTTGTCATCGAAGCACTAATTAACCATTAAAAAAAAAACTTTTTGAATAGTTTTGTGTAAGTACAAATGTTATCATATCATTCATTGATGTGACAAGAAGGTAAAACAGTAATGAGTGACTCGTCGCAAAATTATTGAAAACGAAAACGAAACTGAACGAAACCATATTTGTATGGAGGTACATTTTAATAAATTATAATGGCCAAGCATAGCTAACTCCGGTTACCTCAGAATAATTTTAGTTGTTCCAAAAGTAGTTATGTACTGTTCACGCATTTAATTTAGTTTCTTAGCATTCACCCACTCACCACTGCGTTTAGCGAATTTCTTGCAGAGTCGAAGCCTCGAGAGCAGTGTTGCCAGATTGGGCTATATATAGCCAAATTGGGCTACATTTTTTTCTAGTTGGCGTCGAAATTTCGCCTTTGGCTATGTGGCTATTTTTGGGCTATTTCTAAGGGTGCGGCGAACTCTTGTCGAACCTCAGGTTCGACGTCGAACTTTAAGGTTCGTCTAGTTAATTTTCGAACTTCTAGTCAGTTTCGAAAAAAAAATTGTTTCTCTTTTGGCTAGTCGAGAGGAAAGAGAGGAAGGAGAATGGCTTCAAACTTCTACAAACTTCGGGGTTTTCACAATGCGCAGAGAAGCAGTGCTAGCAGAGTTCAAGCGGTCTCCCCACAGCGCAGTGAAGCAAATCAAACAAACAAATTGCACTGTTTTTACAGGTCCGGTAGCGCGTCTTCTACCCGGACGTAGACTGGACTCTCCAAACGCAGCTTTGGTGCCTATTGCGAAAGTTCTTAGGCATCGCCAACTTTAATAAAAGAAACATAATCAAAAAATAGCTTGAACCGGAACGGGGGACGCTCATATTCTACACAAAGAAAAATAGACGGGTGGGTTATTTGTAAGAACCTTAGATATAGGGGGTGCTAGTTTAAAACTCCCAGTTCTGACTGTTCTGCTTCTACATTCTGTTCTTTTACTGTATGATTATATCTCCCGGGCTTCACAATACAGCTCATGTATGTTTTCTATTTCTGAAAACCTACGAAGGATGGGTAATTGTTTCACAAATTTTCATCCTTCTGACGCTTTTCTTTATATATATATCAGGGGACCTAATGTACAGAGCGCGACACTGTTAGCGCGAACAAGCGATCGCCGGTTTTTCCAATTTTTCTTTTTGAAACCAAGGGATGCCATCCAAGCTATTATTGCTACGGAAAGAGCTCATTTAGTTCTATAATGTAAGCGATAAAATTTCGTACTTGCTACTACTATTTAGAAGTAAAATGCGAAAATCCGCCGATGTCGTGTTCGCGCTAACAGTGTCGCGATGTGTACACAAAAAGTGGCGCATCTGAGGGTTGAAAAAGGGAATTTAACGTGTTGTTTTTTATGCGTATGAAAAATTGTCAATAAAAGGCTTAAAAATCGTTGTTTTTAGTCTTGGCTATTTTGGGCTATATTTATTTTATGGCTTTGGCTATATTTGGGCTATACCTCCCAGCCGTTTGGCGGTTTTTTGTTGGGACCATCTGGCAACACTGCTCGAGAGCAACTATGTACTCTTTCACTCAAGATGGCGTGTTGTGGCGTCGCGAATTTTCGCCGGCATTTGTAAAATCTAGTTTTTGCGGTACCCGAAAATAGGTAACACCGTAGAAACAAAAGATATGTAATTAAAACTTGCATCTATAGACTCGCCATCACATCATGCCGTACAGAGACAGTGATTCGGACAGCGGAAGCACCTCGCGCCGCAAGAAAAAGAAGCGAACGCACAGATCCAGGTAAACGAACCGGTGTAAACCTCTTCGCCTGCTTTCTTCACAAGCCGTATTTATCCTTCATTGCGCCTTCTTAAGCTTCATATGCCGATATTTGTGGTTATCGCTACTATGTACATGTTTTGTATCTCGGAGTTACCGCAACAAATGATCGTGTTGATTTGACAACTTGGCACTGCACAAGAGGCTGTTACAACTCGAGCCCCTTTAAAAACTGGACGCGAAAATCGGATTTATTTTTTCCTGCGGCAAACGTACTACCAAAAGCTGAGAATCGCGAAAGCATGACCGAAGACCAGGTTAGCGTCAAAGAACATGGACATGGTCTTCGTGAACACCGCGCTTGAAAACCTGCATACAAACGTTTTTAACCTTTTACCACCTCGCTCGTTCTATCCCACTCGCGGAAATGGCTGGAACTTGTCAAGCAAAGAAATCTCAGCGCCGCAGAGTGCTTTACTTCGCTGTTCCCGGTCTCTCGACGAAAAGTGTCAGCCGTGAAACATTGCGTTTTTGATCCCGATCTTTGAGACAAGTGAAATCAAGGTAATGGTGCAGGCTAGCTGATGAATAGTCATACTTTAACACAAGTTAGATCTTTTTCCCTGCTCTCGTCATAAAGCTTATGGATGTTTTTTCGCAGCTCTTCATCAGGAGACGAGCAGTCGTCCAGTCGTCACCGCCACCGAAAGAAGAATGCTCGCGGCTCGCACCAGGAGAAGTCGAGACGTCGCCGCTCGAGGTCCAGTTCGTCGTCCCGCTACTCCAGCAAGACGACATCGCGCAAGCGGCGTTCCCGCTCCACCTCCCGCCACAGGAGGTCGCGCTCACGCACTCCTAGTTCGAGGAGACGCTCTCGATCCAGGTGAGGCAAGCTCTCCTTGAGCTCACTGCCGCTAAATAAGCCGCCCTCATTTGGGACTCTAAATGAGCGCGGTGAAACATCGTGTTTACCGCGTCCCAAAATGCGTTGTCCCTCGATCTCTGCCCGATGACGTCATATTCTCCGGTTCGACAGTCTGCAGAAGCTTCGGCAGCCAGGAGTTGGGATGCCGCGACGACAGGGACACTCGTGTTCGCTCGTGCTTTTCGCCGGCATTTCTACAACCACCCACTAGGATTGCGACGTCCAACAGCACGACGCTGCGGTTTTTGTGACATCTTTTAATGCAAAATCATTCATTGTCCCATGGAGCGAACAAGCATTATCAGCTTTTGAAGCCGCACCAAACGGCACCTAAATTCCTCTGTCCTATGGAGTGAAGCCTGTAGTCTGTAGCAGCGAATTGATGGATAACCTCCCATTGACTCGTGCACGGCATAGTTACAAGAAACGCCACCCCACACTCTGTGGCGCTGCGGCCCCCGCCGAGAGGAGCAGAAATGGCTGAGGTGCCGAGAGGATCAGAAGCGGCTGCGGTGCGAAGATCGACATTTATGCTTTCGCATTTACAGCTCTTAAGAAGTGCTTTTTATTGCCTCTTCGGGACCCCTTTCGACGTGGGGGTCGGACGGAACGCTGGTCACGCCGGTCGGAGCCACGTCCCAGACAGCGTAGCGCGGTGTTGCTGAGGGCACGACCGGAGCCACTAAACAAGCTACGCTTCGGTGTGACGACACTTCAGCTATCTTGTTGCTTAAAGCCAGTCTTGTCGTTTATCCGAAGCCTTACTTGAAATCGCAGCAAACTTTTCCGTTCTCCAGAAACGTGGAAAGGGTCTGCCAAGAGGCAATACGACATCGCCCGAGCTTTCCGACACCGTGTCTAAGGCTCAGGAAGTTGCATTTTCGAATCTGTCGCTAGCTGCTCCCTCTTTGTACCAGGCAACAAAATGGAAACGTCCGCAGGACGGTTGGGGAACGGAGCGTCGATACTCTGGGCGTCGCTTACGTGGTGGCTGTGGGCATGACCTTTTAGCTCAGTAAAGCGTTCACAATGTGTGGGTGCACATTGCCCTTTCGGCACCTTGCAGGGGTACTAGGAGATTACCCAGTTGGGATCTATGTTCTGGTAAGATGCCATAGTGTGGCACATTTCCAAACCGTATATGTATGGTACAAACTCGTAACGGCCCTTGATAGCGACAAAGATTTTGATCTGTTGTAAGAGGAGTGTGCAGAACACGGATACTCTTGCTACAGACTTTGACGTGGATTATGACCGGAGTCTGTTCCAACCGGTGAGACTGGCGAAATGTGAGTGGATATTAGAGAAGAACTGGTTTGTTGAAACTTCCGATTTTTGAAAGGTGGTGGTTTTTTTTATTGAGCCGTACAGACGGTCGTCGTCACTGCACTGTTTTGGTCATACAAGGCTCGCGGGGCATCGAGCAGTTTTCAAAATGGATGCCCCCACTACCAAACCAAAGCCAAGTAATGTCCGAAATAATGACTGCTGTCAGAGTCTGCTATAATAGAATGTTGAACTACTTTCACACTTTCTAATATAGTCCATTCTGAATGTATATATCTGAACGTATGTTATAACAAAATTTGTAATAAGTGAAGTTGGCTCAGTGGTATAGACAGTGTTGGGTAAAGTACATCTAAAAAGTACTTGAAGTACAAAGTAAATGAGGGGTTATGTACTTCAAGTAGTAAGTACACTGGGTGCAGTGTACTTGAAGTAAAATACTGTATGCCATGGAACAAATGAGTATTGTTAATGGGAATGGCGCCAACGCCAGGTTCAGCTGAAGAAATATTAATTGATACTAGCGCATCCTCTTCAATTTAGCACATGTTTACACCCGGATATTTTAACAAAAACACTGCAAAATTAAGCTCTGAGTTTTGGAGAATTGGAAATCGAAGAAAAAAATAACTCCGATACACTCTGAATTTTCGGCAAAAAATAAACTAGAAAAAACACCCTCCGAATTTGTCGAGAAAAAAAACTCAGAAGACACAAAATCCTAGTTATAACCGAATGTCTGCTGCAACCAGATCTCTCGTAGCAAGGTTATACTGTATTAGTCTGTGCACTTTTCTCTTCTTTAATGCCTTGGATTGTGGCCTTTCTTTCACCTCCCTTTTTGCACACACTTTCAGGTCTCCCAAGCACCGTTCAGGCAGATCCCGGAGCGGATCCAGTTCTCGAAGGCATTCCCGCTCGGCCAGCGATTCTCCTAGGAGATCTAGCAGGAGGTCTACCTCATCGTCCCCAAGGTTTGACCCAGCTGCCTTTATGGTCCTTGACTCTACATGTCCCTAGAGTGGCTTCAGGATTGGAGTGTATCAACTTTCTACATGTTTTTGTTTCCTGAACTGGCAGCCATTGTCAACATACATACTAAACAATTGTGTGTTACTTCATACAATTTGACATAGGTCTGTGTTGCCGCATTCCTTTGATGTCCCCAGTTTGGAAACCTCTTCGAAGTTTAACCTGGTAAAGTTTTTTGGGAACATAAGTTGCGTCATTACTGGGGCCCGGATGCTTAGGCAGTAAGAGAGTTCAAAATAGGCAGGCATTTATAGGCTCTATTGATTCTAGTGCAACATAAAAGCTTTACATATAGCCACTCTCTTTTATTTCCTTATTTAGGTGCTTCATAATACCACAGGAAAGGGCTTTAACTCATTTAAAAATAAAAGAACACTGCAGACAAGCCAAACAGGGTTTTTACAAAACATGTCGCTGCAATAGTAAGGAAAAACCTGCTTGTGCCCATCCAACGTCAATGTTCGGATATGGAACTATTCACTGTCGTGAAAGCATGCTGCAGTGAACCACATTTTCAGGCTCTCAAGCTTAAAGCTCCTCCTGTTCTTCGTGAGAATGGCTTTGTGTTTTGAAAAACTTCTTTCATCGTCACAAGATGTCAGGGGTGCGAACTAAAAGCATGAAAGTTCAAGTGGGCTGAGCTCCTCATCAGCAAGACTTTCCCGTCTCTATTCAGCAGAGTTGCAGGTCCTCGATTCTTGTATATCAGTTCCTCCATCTTCTGCTAGCAGTCATGCCCTTGCCTGCCAGTTGTGGATTACTCTCGGACTCTCGGACATGCTGGACATTCTTCAGGGATTCATTTAGGTAAATTCTCGTTGTCTCCAATTTCGTCACGCTATGCGTCAACGTGCCGAAATTTGCATTGATGTATGCAAGATTTCTTTCTATGTCCGCCTTATGGAACATCCTTTTGGCTACGGTGACAGACACAGCGTCGTCTGGGATTTGCTCAAGCAGAGATTTCAGTAAGTTGAAGTGCCGACAATAGTATGTCACTGCAATTATCCATGCACCCCACCGAGTCAACACGGGCTGGGGCGGCAAAGGAACATCAGGTACAGCATCTTGAAAAGCAGCAATTCTCGATGGAGCATTCAAATATACTTTCCTTATATTAGACTCCAACAAATCCACTTGAGGAAAGGCCACACTGATTCCTTCGGCAATGCAATGCAGGGCGTGCACAAAACACGTTGAGTGAACCATCTTGTGGAAAAGAACTTCAAGTCCTTTACCAGCTTTGCACACATAGGACGCCCCATTCGTGACAAACAGCAGAACCTTCTCATGCCAAAAATTTCTGGGCCACGAAAGCTTCAGAGAGGCGGTAAAAAACCGCGCAACAGTCGAGTGGTTTACCTTCTCAAGAACGTCCGTGTTCAGTAAGATTGGAGTTCCGGCTTCTTCAGCTTTCATTGTTCCAACGATGAAGTTGACCATCTACCGGCCGCCGGTATCCGTGGTTTTGTCGACTGACGCCCAGATGTATTTACACAATTATAAATCGACCCCCCCCCCTCCCCCCCACATTGCACATCAGCAAAAAAAAAAAAAAAAAAAACTCTTTAGATGTGCATTTTACTGTAAATACGTGAGAACGACAAAGTATCTGTTCCGAAAGCCCAGCCTCCAACACGTGATCTATGCCTTCTGGCATGCTTTGGCTGCGCATGCATGCACAAGGTGTGTGAGATGTCCAGGTTTTATCGAAACCAGGAAGTTCACGCTGGAGGCGGGACAACTGAAGCTGCTCCCTGTCAATCCCACTCTGTCCGCGACTAGACTATGACTCGTCCACACTGGTGATGTCAGGCCCGTCGCCACCAATGCTACGTTCTTGAAGCACGTCAGCGGCGTCGTCATACAAAATCCCGCACTTCGCAAGTGACAGCATCAGCCGCATCTTCCGCGCTTGCTTGGCGATCGCGTTGCACGTGACAAGTAGGGTTCGATTGCACACTTTTGCGGCGTACGTTGCAGGCCTGACCTCTAACTCCAGAGGGCATCCGCACCTATTCTGACTTTGGCGTGCGGAAGCCTCTTTGTTTGCCGTCACAGTTCAAAGTCCCGCGCCATTACAGACTCCACTGGAGCATCACCCGCTCCGACGGGGGTCGAACTTGCGTCCAGCAATGCAGTTGTTTGTTGCCTCTGGATGAAGAATGGCCATAAACGAGCACCGAAAACGTAAACTGCCTGGATCACGCATTTCAATAGAAAAAAGCATAGTTATCATTCCAGCATGATCTTGACACTCACTCAAACGACATGCAACCGTGAATCGTGAAAGTTGACCCCCCCACTTCAGATGTTCAAAAATTGAAAAATGGGTTGACCTACATTCATGTAAATACGGTAGTTATACCCGATTTCTCGCTCGAATTAGGTGAAAGTCTCTTCATGGCACTCCTTCACACTCTTTTCCGGAGAGCTGTACTTTGAGTGTACAGTGTACCTTGAGAATGTACGGAGACCATTGTGTGTTAGCTTCCATAGTGGTATTTCTGCGGACAAAAATGCCTGGCTGAGGTCCTTGGAAAACTGGAATACCTTTCCATCGGTGCTTTCGCCAAATGCTTCCGCCAGAACTTGCAATGTTCCCATCTTCTGTCTTGTACTTGCGACGTGCCGAGCAACGCGGCATCGTTTCTCCTAGAAACCGACGTTTCACATACTTTGTGAAGAAGAACACTGCCGTCCGTCGTGAATACATCTCCAAACTCTGCGATCCATCTCCTACACCGATTTGCTTGCAAGCCGTTTTCTTTCGGCATGTTAGAAAACAAGTGAGCCAACTGTAAGCGTACGACGATGCCTACTGTCGCCAGGCAAAGAAGGGGAAAGGTTCGTCTGGCTTTGTGGTTACGCCTCTTCCAGGTGAATGAGAAGAAAAGAGAGAAAGGCATGCAGGAGAAGACGAAGGAGGAGGAGGAGAGGCTGCTCCAAGTGCTCTGCATATTACCCAAGCATATCCCATTAGCCCTTGGCAACAGCTGATGCCACAGTGGCAGTTTCGTTGGTCTACGAAATGTACATGCGGCGCACTTCTCTTTTAGTGCACGGGAAAAAAAAGCTTTCTGCGGCGAAACTAATGACCGCACCTCCACGTGGTGAATGATGTTGATTGGGGCGAAGCTCTGGTGGTGCTTATGATACTGATTTTGTTCATAGGTAGTGCTGATGGTGCTGATTTTTTTTTATTGCTCATAGGTAGTGCTGAGTTCCGGGTTGCGTTTCGGCTTCATTATTACTGCTTTATGGTCGGTGAAATGCAGAGCCAGTGGTTCTTCTAGTGGATCAGCTTGGATCCGCTAGAAGCCGTGGGAATGCATCTCCACTGCTTAAGTCAACGGTCCATGTCAGAAAGAGAATGTGTGGTATGGAACGTGGTTATATACGAATTTAAGCATTTGTCCGCAGCGCCCTCTCGTCTATGAACGTTGAGTCAATGCATGCAAAGTTTAACGCGATTATATACGCATTTAACAGCAGCGCCCTCTCCTGTATACACGTTAAGCGACTACATGCAACGTTTCATCCATGACGTCCCACCTCTTGGGTTACTACCACATCTCAGAGCCCCCGACTCGTCCCGCAGTTGTGGCCGAGTGGTTAGGGCGATGGACCAGAAATCTATTGGGGTCTCCCCGCACAGGTTCAAATCCTGTCGACTGCGCAAATAATTTTTTTTTTTTTTTAAGAAGACAGAAGGGATGGCGATTGATGTGAGCACGGGCGCCGGACGGACAAGGCTAGACCCTAAGGAGCTTCGCCCCTAAAAGCTCGATAAGCGTTTAGCGAGCAACGCTGCCCCGTGTTAGCCCGCGTTAACCTAAGCCCCCCTCTCCCATTGAACCAAGACATGGTGGCGGTGTGCACAATACACCCGAGCCGCAAGTGCCGGTTCTGGAAGGACAAGGGCTGTCGTCTTCTGTGGACGCCGCTGCGATTTTAACGGGAGAAAGGAGGGGGTCAGCTTCCTAATGCTTGTCAGAATTGCACGTTCAACGCTTTTAGTTCTGCCGCCAAAGCATTGTCTATCCCGCGCATCCAGAGCTCTGCACATGTCGAAGCAAAATAGCGCCACCGTGTTCCTCTCATCCTAACGTCAGACGAACGAGGGGCCAGCAACAGAAACAGCAGGTGCCGAAGGCCTTTTTTCTCTGGAGAATAAATGAAGACAAAATAATTCAAAGCTGGTGGATAGCCATTGAAGCAAATACTAGCCTAAAAATGAATGCAGTCTGTATGAAAGTGCAAATAAAAAGGCACTTTTTTGAACAAAATCTAAGAAAACGTAGGCAAACTGTAAAAGGCTGCATTTAGGCATTTATAGGCAAATGCCTAAACATCTGGGCCCTTGTCATTACTTGTGTCACTAGGGGTGCAGGATTCAGCCTACAAAAACGGAAGAAAACAAGTAGGTTCACGTGACAGTAATTCTCGGACGGCTTTTGTGACGTATTCGAAATAATGTTGTAGGCAATGTTGAAGCACGGTGCATCAGTGCTGCTTTACCTTTTATCTTTCGACAGGGTAGAAACAGTCCTGCCGATCCTGTCTTGTCGGCGACTTGAAGCGTTTACCAGCATTTTTTGTGAGGCAGTGGTGTGTCCATATTATTGAGGAACACCTGCATTTGACTGACTCATTTGTACATACGTCAGAGATTGCCACTGTTTCGATGTTTCGAATATCTGGTTGCCCAGTTCCTTTCCCTTTGAGTGTGTCTCGATGAGTGGAGTGAGCTGCTTCTAATGGATCGCCGTCCCTTGTAGGAGAGCGAGGAGGGACAGCCCTGACCTGAGGAATGTGGTGAGTGGTTTCAGGGGCGCCCGTTTCAACTTTCCCAGTGCTCTCGGAGGGGCAGTTGCTAACCAGGTGTCGTGTGTGACAGAACGATGCCGACAGGCTGAAGCTGAAGATTCAGCAGGTCATGAAAGCGGCAGGTACGCACTACATCCTTGACTCACACTACGTAGACATTAAATGAGTCGTGGGAGAGAGAATTTTGTATACATGCTGCTAAACAGCTATAGTTGAAAACCGTGCGATATTTGTGTTATACACTGACTCAAGAATGGTACTCCCCTGTGTCCACAGGTAGCTGCCATAGACAGCTTTATGACTTATGTTTCAGTTGTGTCTTTTGTTTGGGCAGTAATAAGCAATTCACAGTTTAGTCCTGTTTTTCTAGGAACAAACGAAAATGCTCAGAGAGGAAGAAAATGTAAGTTGGATTGTCTTAACCTGCCTACATTGTGCTGGGGGTAATTGAGTTTGCCATGAGCAAACATGACAATGAATTGCTCTCATATACTCTTTTAGCAACATTTTCATAAGAATCTTGAATGAATTGTTCTGTGGTGACTTCTCCAGAGATTTTCATAAGAATCTTGAATGAATTGTTCTGTGGTAACTTCTCCAGAGATTTTCATAAGAATCTTGATTGAATTGTTCTGTGGTGACTCCTCCAGAGATTGTCTCTTTATTAAGATAAATGCTTGCAACGTAGATAGATAATTTTTATGTTCTTCAGGAAGCGCTCTTTTTATCACAGCCGGGCAACACCAAAAGTCTTCTCACCCTCTCACCTGTTGGCAAATAATATATTATGAGTAATACTAGTTTTGCGAGCCAGTGGAATAAAGAGCTTTGATGCAGTCAATTTGGAGCTCGTGAGATACAACCTGCACTCAGGGTTACTGAATGTGGGGCATCCTTATTGTCAACAATATCTATGAGACCGATGCTTTGGGCCTTGTTGAAAAGAAGCAGGAAGACATCGCTGTTTGGTTACAGAGAAGGCAGTCTCAAAAAAAAAAAGCTGCTATTCTCTCGGCTATTATTTTAGATGTTCACTGTCCATGTATAAAATTTTCTTGGTGACATTATTACAGAAACATTTTTGAGATGTAAGAAGCTAGGATCAGTCTGCGGGTGCTTTATGCTGTAGGCACTTGTTGCAGAATGCCTCCCCAGTTGAGCTCCAGCCTTCATCAGAATATGCTGCAGATTTGTAAATACTCAGCTGTATACCACAGATTAACAAAACATTGAGTTATTGTCCTTGCAGGGCTAGCAAAGAGTGAATAGGGGATGGTCACCTTGTTTAAAGACTGAAGTAAGATTCTAAAATGAAGGTGTTTTTCAAAACGTAGGGGTTTGCAGCATTTCAGTAGCATTGCAGAACAGATATTACTAGTTTAGTCTAATATTCTTCTTGAGTGGAAAAATGATAATGCACTGAACTGAACTCTAAACAAGAGTTAACTTTTTTTTTTTTTTTTAAATGTAAGCTGGAATAAAAACTTATGGGGCCTTCTGTAGAGCATTATAAGTTTATCCAGTATTGGTTGTGCAGTATTCTAAAACGTGGATGTGATCTTTTTCCCGACAGTGTGCAATTGCCTTTAAAATTAAAATAGAAGTAATATTAATTTTGGGCCAGTCGACAGCATAATGAGGAGCCCACATTATGCAAGGTTTTTGAGTGGCAGCTATCAGTAAGAAAAATTAAGCAAACATAATGTGAATCGGTTATTTACCTGTCGAAACTTATTCTGAACACATAACTGATAAAAATTGCACGCAGCTGGTCGGACGTTGCTATGGGGCGTGCAAGCCCACGTTCAAAATGTGGGTCCAAAATGTGCCAAGCAGCAAGTGTCAGACAGCTGGTATTGCGTTGTCATACCTGAAAGCTGTCTACTGACGGTTATTGGTCAGACCAGAACATACCGTCCCTTGCTGCCGACCTGTGACGTGGTGCCACATGCGCAAACATTTGATTTGCCTTATGTCACTGTGCCGCATGCACAAACATCTGACTTGCCATGCTCACTCCACCATCACTCTGCTACAGCGCTCCCTTGCAGCCTACTTAATTGCATTTTGGAATTCACAATAACAAACTAACCTCGTGGAAGTAGCATCATTTGTTACTTTATATATGCTGGCTTTATGTAGTCTGCTGCCCACCTTTCTCTGCATACTCCATTCATCAATCTCTCTTGCTGGAAGTTGAACCCATGGTCTGACCCCCAGCAACGTTGTGCCTCTCTACTTTATTTCAGCAGTTCTGCACACGACTGTGAAAGCCATGGGTGGGAGAGAGAAAGAACAGTCCTTTTTGTGGGAATTTTGGGTGACAAGCTAATCCCTGATGAGCACGAAAGCAGTGATTGGGCTGCACAAAAGAAAGTCTGGATAAAAGGGAAATTCCAACTGTTAATGTTATGCTCTCGCCTCTGTACTTTTGGTTACACTGTGCACAAGTAGTGAGGTAGAGTATAGAGTGGCTTGCGACCCAGATATGCCCGAATGCAGTTCTTCGCTAGGAATCTGAAGGGATTTCAGCTGGCAACTTGTGGCTCTATATAAGAATAAATGGAGTATGGTGCCCTGGAGTCCCGAGGTTGCCTAAATGGGTACACTGGCTCACAAACGACTGTGTCGCTTCCTTCTATGCAGCCAATGCGAATGCGGAGCTGAGCAAGAAGGGGCTGCTGCCCAAAGGTGCCAGCAACCAGACATCCACGCCACCCACCATGCAGGAGCAGCTGGAGCGGGCTAGGATGATCGAGGACATCAACGCTCCGTCCTTCAGCCAGCAGGTCTTCGTGTCCAGGGCAGGCAAGAAGGTGAGTTGGTGGGTTGTTGGACTCGTGCAGAGTGCCGAAAGTAGACAAATGGCGATGCAGAGACGGTTACAAGCCGTCGATTCGAGGTGTTTGGCTTCACCTGGGCCACAGAGTTTCTGTGGAGGCTAGAATAGCATAGGCTTGCTTTAAAACTAGGTTTGGCTTAAAAAGGTACTCCGGTGATTTCTTTGTGGTTCCTGATTTGCTTAAAATATTGCTGAACTCGCCAACAGACATCGCCAAAATAGTATCCCAAATATTAGGCTAAAATATTTTTTTTCGCAAAGTTATTGAATTTACGATTTCGGTTCTCACCGTGTTTTTCAAACTGAAATTTTCTACTGGCAACAACGAAAAAGTAATGTCAGTGGAGGGCAGGGGTTCACTTTTTGGACTGTAGAATTTGTTCCCAATTGATTTGAAGCAGTTTCATGGTGTCAAATGAACGCTTTAGAAGCTCGCTGCAGTACCCGCACTCCTGCACGGCACAGATGATTGGCATATTCTATTTTTTAGACCACTTGCTTGGCTGGCAATCCTGCCCGCCACTGACGTCACGGCACTGAAAAGTGTGGGTATATTTGAATGTTGGTTTTTGCATCATTTTCATTTGCCCATTTCACAATAACTATTATGAATTTCGCGATACTAAATAGCATACCGGAAAGGGTAAAGGCCGGGAAGTCAGAAAATATAGTTAGTTGAGGTAGCTCAAAAAATCGTCGGAGTACCCCTTTAAGGTTTGGTTTAGAATTGGTTAGCTTAAGTTGGGTTTAAGATTTGGTTTATGTTCAGAGCAGAGTTAGGTTAATTTAGGTTTGGTTTAGCAGTTAGTTTAGGTTTAGTTTAGCATTAGGCCAGAGTTAGGTTAGTTTAAAGGGACAATCAAGGCAATTTCGGAGATCTTTTTGGCGATTGAATTGGGTTCCAAGCACGTCTCAGGCTACGTTGCCGAAATTTCAGCCGAAACCGGCGCTTGTGTGCCGCGCAAATCAATTAAACAGTCGCGGTAATAATCATACCGGGATCGACTGGGGCGACGCCCCGAGAGTTGCGGGAGAAACCTCGAGAAGCGGAGCTCACGTGACCGATGCGGGGCCAAGGAGCGCGACGTCACAAGAGACGCGTCAGCGATTGGTCGAAACGAGGAACGTGCCTTCGGTCACGTTTTGGCTCGCGATTTTTAGGAATACTGTTCTAATTTCCGCTTGAATAATGATCAAAGGTATAAATCGGATCGGAAATGATTACTAAACCGCAGATAAAGCAGCATCATTGTTTTTTTCTTTGCTACGCTGGACGTGAAACCGGCAACGAGCAACTATCCAACAATATAAAATTAAAAAAGAACACGGTACTCGAAAGATTTTGCAAAATGGTAGCTGTAGATTGCTGTTCTAACGGTCGACTGAAGACCAGTATTCGTTCGGGCGACGCTAGTTTTCACGTGTGGGTAGCTGTTCGTGTTCTTTGATGATGAAAAGAGGAAGTCCGCGGAGGGACCGGATCCCGGAACGGTGGGATCGCTGCCGCTTTCCCTTCGGCATCTCCCCCGCGTCCGTCCTTCGGCATGCGGGCCGCTCGTTGCCGGCTGGGCGGTCTCCGTCGGGTGATGGCAGAGGCCGCCACACACATACTCCCGTTCCGTTGGTGTTCGGTCACTGAACGGAAGCTCGAACTCGCTCGCGAGAGCGGCATTCGTCCATGTTGACAGAGTCGGCGCAACGACCGCGCTGCTATAACCCACCGCGGTAACCAGAGTCTCGATCTCCTAAATACTACCGATACCGACTATTCACACTTGACGTCACTCCTACGTCACCTCCGTTTTCAGACTCCCAGAAACGAGACTGGAGATGGTTCAGTTTCGGTTTCTTTACTTCTTTCGTAGGCACATAAATACGCGTCATAAATGTCTACAAAAATTTGGGCGGCATGCTATGTTCCCAAGAAGCATTAAAACACCATTTAAAAAAATTAAATAAAATCGTCTTCATTGTCCCTTTACGTTTGGTTTAGGGTTGAGTTAGGTTAGGTTTCGGTGGGGCTGTGGAAACCCTGCAACACTCGTGCTTGGCTTCTAGGCCCCCGCCAGATGTGCTTTCTCACTCTGCAGGATGGGGGCAGCCTGAAGGAGGTGGACAACCACACGGCGGCCATCTTTGGCTCCCTGGAGACCTTGGTGGCGGCAAACAAGGAAGTGGTGCCCCTGTGCAACTGGCGGGAGAAGCCAGAGCTCCTCGTCCACGACAATGTGGGTCGCTCGTCTGCCTTTCTCTCTTTCTTGCATCGCAGTGGGCAGTCAGCTCAAGGCTGGGCTACGGTTCGCGAGATGCTTTGGCAAATTTTCATTTTTCGTTTTATTGGTAAATGACCTGCACTGAAATTAAGGAAGTACAGTAAACTCTCAATTGAGTGAACTTCAAGGGACCCAGGAAATACCATGCAACCCACTTACAGTGATACCACATATAACGATGTACCACTTATAATGATCAGTTTCATGAGTTTCTAGACTGGAAATGATCAGTTTCTAGTCCAGATACAACGATAATCGGTTATAACGATTGAAATTTCGGGTTTTCTCATTATCATTATAAGTGGGTTGCACTCTGGTTAACTTAGCTGAAAGTACAGGCCGAACAGAACCGATGACAAAGGAAAAAACAGACGCACCACATGGTTCGTTTTCGTCTACCGCACCGCCGCTTTGCCTCGGCGGTGCTGTAAATGCCAGCGATGGCACGCCGCCGCTGCAGAGCTGGTGGCAGCGGGCATCGGCTAAGGCAGCACTGCACAGCACAAAACTTCGTTGAACTGATTGCAAAAATAATCCTGGGTCCACCGATCAAGTTCGTTGAACTGAAATATTCACTATCCTGAAATTTGTTAATTCGTTTAACTGAAACATTTTTGCATAGAAGGCATAGAAAAACTGCTGGGGATTTTTTTAAAGTTTGTTTTTCTGAAATATTTGTTAAACCAACGTTCACTCAAGTGAGAGTTTACTGTTTACACCAAAGGAGCGGTTGCACATTTGAATGCAGTCTAGAGAATGAGCGCAGGCATGCCCAAAATTGGATGTTTGCTAGCATTGGCAAAGAGAGTAATTTTCTCGTCTATAACCGCATTGCCTGCTTTGAAAACAATGATTTGTGCTTCTATTGGGTGTTTCAAGGAGCGGCCAGGCTCTTTAAATCGACCGCAAAATTCGGTTTCTTAACCTATCGCGCTACGACTTTGTGCAGCGTTGCCCACAGATGGTGCATTTTTTTTTGTAAAATTTGCAAAGATTGAGCTTACTTGAGGAAAAAGTAAAGAAAGAAAAAGGCTTAGCTCCTATGGAAATGCAGCGAAGCCACCGGTTTTCAAACAATACAACGCCGTTTCACGCGGGAGACAAGAGATGGCGCGAGCGGTCGCGACGCCAACTGCCGCCAACGAACAAGCATACGGCGCCGAGAGCCGGCGTCTTTAGCAGACTATCTTTTCGACTCAAAAGCGGCGCAAGCTTTTCTGATATCAGTTGCCAATGCATCATTTTATCATCCTTGCTAATAAAACATACTGAATGGCAGGGCCGTACCCAGAAATAAATTTCGGGGGAGGGGGAGGGGGGGGGTTTTCGGGGACAACGGCGGCCATTTTGAAAATGTCTATTGTCTTATTTTTGCCTATGAATCATGTGCATCGGTGGCATATAATGGAGAGTTATAGCAAACCGAAGAACCGGTCCCGGTTTGGTACCTGGTAGCCGACCGGTGCCACTGCGCGTGCGCAGAGGTGAAGATTAAAATCGGCTGGCTGCAAGTGCACCGACCAGGGCCGTGCCCAGAAAAAAATTTCGGGGGGGGGGGGGGGGGGGGGTCAGAATGCCCTAACCCCCCCCCCCCCCGGTTACGGCCCTGCTGAATGGACGCATAACTGATTAAAAAATGGTTTGTCGGGATATTTTGACTGTTTTTTTTTTCGGGGTACTGATGCCGTCTGCTTTGCAGTTCCTTGTTGTTGCCGCTCTTGTTTTTGGTTCTGTGACTGTCGCCGCTGAGGGACGCGTGCCGCTTTGAGTCCAAAAGATTGTCTGCTAAAGACGCTGGCTTTTGGCGCCGTATGCTCGTTCGTTGGCGGCAGTTGGCGTTGCAACCGCTTGCGCCATCAATTGTCTCCGGTGCAAAATGGCGCCGTATTGTTTGAAGACCGGTGGCTTCGCTGCATTTCTATAGGAGCTAAGCCTTTTTCTTTCTTTACTTTTTCCTCAAAAAAGTTTGCTCTTTGCAAATTTTACAAAAAATAAATGGACCATCTGTGGGCAACGCTGCACAAAGTCGTAGCGCGATAGGTTAAGAGACCGAATTTTGCGGTCGATTTAAAGAGCCTGAAACACCCAGTACTTCCCAAGCCACTCACAAATCCAAGAGTATTGCAGCAGGCTATAAGTAAAACTTTTGGTAATTTATTAGACTTGTATAATTAAATTTCATTGTCGTAAGTTTTTTTTTTTTTTTTTACTTTCAGTTTTTGCAAGTCAGTACTTATGCTTGGTATAGTAAGAATAACCCTATCGCAATTGTCTAAAACCAAAATACTTTGTCCTACTTGCAGTTTTTCATTATTTTTCCTAAGCTCTGAAACTGGAAGCTAGGTCCGTCCAAGGCCTTCTTGCACACCCCTACAGTGGAACCCCGATAATTCAAACTCGGATATTTCATATTTCCGGATAATTCAAACAAAATTTAAAAAAATTTGTTGTCCCACAATGTTTTTAATGCATTTATGAGGTGCTTAATTCAAACAGCATTTTCGCTTAATTGATTCTATATTGTTCATTGCCTCAGGTTAGCCCCGTTGAATGTGCTTCTCACCATGCACCTGTTTACTGTGGGAAAGCAATACCCATGATGCTTGCGGTCATTGCTTTGCCGCAGTATGAAGGTGCTGGGTGAGAAGCACATTCGATGGGACTAATCCACCGCAATTATGCAAGCATAATTGTCCTTGCAATCTGCTTTCATTATTCATGCTTGTTTTTTTTTAATCTGAGGAGGTTAAATTCGAGATTAAAGAAAGAATATTTGCATAAAGCAAGAAGATTTATAGGCTCCCTCAAATAGGATAGCTGGGCATCTCTTTAGGTTTAATTTTATGTCAAATCTGTCATTTACATGCCACCCCAATGTAGACATTTGATCTTCTGAGGCCACGTTTCATAGATATAGTTATATTAAAACTAACTGAGTTTAGAAGATGGTTGGGACATCCTTCATGAGGTCAGCAACTCCAAAAAGGTTCACATATGTAGCCCTAGTACCGGCTGTTTTACGAATGCATTCTTTGTCAAGGCATGCAGAGAGTGGAACAACTTTCCGGAGGAGACTGTGTTCACTGATAACAACAACGTTTTCTTTTCCTGATTGCCGGTGTGCATCTAATAACCCACTACAATAATGCCCAGAACGCCCTAACCCCCCCCCGGTTACGGCCCTGCTGAATGGACGCATAACTGATTAAAAAATGGTTTGTCGGGATATTTTGACTGTTTTTTTTTTTTCGGGGTACTGATGCCGTCTGCTTTGCAGTTCCTTGTTGTTGCCGCGCTTGTTTTTGGTTCTGTGACTGTCGCCGCTGAGGGACGCGCGCCGCTTTAAGTCCAAAAGATTGTCTGCTAAAGACGCTGGCTTTCGGCGCCGTATGCTCGTTCGTTGGCGGCAGTTGGCGTCGCAACCGCTTGCGCCATCTCTTGTCTCCGGTGCGAAATGGCGCCGTATTGTTTGAAGACCGGTGGCTTCGCTGTGTTTCTATAGGAGCTAAGCCTTTTTCTTTCTTTACTTTTTCCTCAAAAAAGTTTGCTCTTTGCAAATTTTACAAAAAATAAATGGACCATCTGTGGGCAACGCTGCACAAAGTCGTAGCGCGATAGGTTAAGAGACCGAATTTTGCGGTCAATTTAAAGAGCCTGAAACACCCAGTACTTCCCAAGCCACTCACAAATCCAAGAGTATTGCAGCAGGCTATAAGTAAAACTTTTGGTAATTTATTTGACTTGTATAATTAAATTTCATTGTCGTAAGTTTTTTTTTTTTTTTTACTTCCAGTTTTTGCAAGTCAGTACTTATGCTTGGTATAGTAAGAATAACCCTATCGCAATTGTCTAAAACCAAAATACTTTGTCCTACTTGCAGTTTTTCATTATTTTTCCTAAGCTCTGAAACTGGAAGCTAGGTCCGTCCAAGGCCTTCTTGCACACCCCTACAGTGGAACCCCGATAATTCAAACTCGGATATTTCATATTTCCGGATAATTCAAACAAAATTTTAAAAAATTTGTTGTCCCACAATGTTTTTAATGCATTTATGAGGTGCTTAATTGAAACAGAATTTTCGCTTAATTCATTCTGTATTGTTCATCGCCTCAGGTTAGCCCCGTTGAGTGTGCTTCTCACCATGCACCTGTGTACTGTGGGAAAGCAATACCCATGATGCTTGCGGTCATTACTTTTCCGCAGTACGAGGGTGCTGGGTGAGAAGCACATTCGATGGGACTAATCCACCGCAATTATGCAAGCATAACTGTCCTTACAATCTGCTTTCATTATTCATGCTTGTTTTTTTTTTAATCTGAGGAGGTTAAATTCGAGATTAAAGAAAGAATATTTGCATAAAGCAAGAAGATTTATAGGGTCCCTCAAATAGGATAGCTGGGCATCTCTTTAGGTTTAATTTTATGTCAAATCTGTCATTTACATGCCACCCCAATGTAGACATTTGATCTTCTGAGGCCACGTTTCATAGATATAGTTATATTAAAACTAACTGAATTTAGAAGATGGTTGGGACATCCTTCATGAGGTCAGCAACTCCAAAAAGGTTCACATATGTAGCCCTAGTACCGGCTGTTTTACGAATGCATTCTTTGTCAAGGCATGCAGAGAGTGGAACAACTTTCCGGAGGAGACTGTGTTCACTGATAACAACAACGTTTTCTTTTCCTGATTGCCGGTGTGCATCTAATAACCCACTACAATAATGCCCACAAGGTGATGTAGGTACGACGTAAATGAATAAGAAATGCTACCTTGGAGGAAGTGTGTGAGGCCAGAAATGCAGACAGCGCAAGATTGAATTCATCGCCTCGTGTCGTGCAGCTGATGGAGAGTTCGGAGGCCAAGCTGGAACGCTGGAGGAAGAAGTTGGCGGCCGAGCGAAGGAAACGGATTAACGGCGTGTCGCTGGGAGGTTTGGCACGCACCGACACCTGAGGCCCAGTGCAGTTGTGGAAGCGGCGTCACTTGCAAAGACTGTGTGTTTCTGCCCGCAACCTCTCAACTCAATTTCGGGGTCGGGGTTACGCGACTGGGCGTGCTAGCGCCTTTCGGGAACCTATCTGTACATAAAGTTGGGTGTTTTTCACTGTGGAACGACCAGATTGTTTGAGTTTTCTATCTTTTGTGCTGCGAGCCAAGCCAAGCAATGAATACTTCGCTTTACGAAGGGGTAAAGATCCCGTGAAGGGTTGTAGGCTGGGCCGTTTCATAACGTTGGGGAGGTAGAAGCAGACTAGTTTGGTACTCATTACTAGTAATCAAATTATACTTGTAACCAAATACTTTCTGAAGTAATTTTGTAATCATTTGATTACTCTTATTAGTAAGTAATAACTAGAGTAATTTGATTACTTTTGGAAGTACTAAAATTGCTTTTAACCACTACTATTTTCCATCCCCTTTCTAATGATGCCCCCTGTTGCTACAAGTTTCCTACCAATAAATTCTCGAACCAAGTCTCGGACAGGAAGATGGCTTACCAAAATTAGTGGATTAAGAAGGTAAGCGGTCTGTAATTCGGTGGTTCCAATTAAATATTGGGCAGTACGAAAGACCCGTGTTCAAGCCATTGGAAAAATCTGTCACTTTGAAAATCTGAAGTAATCGGAGAACTAAAAGCCTTTAAAGTAACAACCAATTACTTTTCTCCTTGGTGATCGAGTAATCTAATTGGATAGTTTTTCACTGAGTGTAACTGTAATCAATTGCTTTTTTAGAGTAACCGTGCAAGACTGGGTAGACGTGGGATTAAAGGGCAGCTCGGTTCAATTCTTCATTAATTAACAGGTTTCTGTTAGCTCCAGTTGTAAACACTGATGACAGCTTTAACTGCACTTTCAAATTTTCGGTCTCTGCCCATCGGTGAAATCTCTCTTGCTGAGATTCGCTGAGCACCATGACCAGTGGCATCACTAGGGTCAGCGGCACCCAAGGCGGTGACCCGACACAAACCCCCGCCCTTTCGGGGGTTTGGGCATCTGGGGATATTACGGTACTTGTTTACCCCTGCCCTCTTGAATTATTCAATGCGGGACAATACTTGTTTTGCCTTCGCCTCTCAAACTTGGCCCTCATAACACAGTCAGAATTCAGGACAATACCCTGTTTTACTTCCAAGTACGTTTCAAGTGTAATTGTACACCCGCCGGCAATATGAAGGTGAACGCCAGACCGTTGACCGCTCCGTGCTATCAGCGCGATGGCGCGGCTGCCATGACACCTCGCTTTCTTATCGCGATATGAAGGTGAATGCTGGACCGTCGACCGCTTCGTGCTATTAGCGCCATGACGTGGCTGCCACGGCAGCCGCGGCATGGCGCTGATAGCACGGAGCGGTCAACAGCCCGGCGTTCACCCTCATATCGCACACGACTGTACATAACTTGTATTTGTACAAGTTCCGACATAATCGCACATCAATGAGTACCTTACCCTGAATTCGTGCTACTATACAGCGTGCAAGTTTGTCAGCTGAATTCATACTACTATACAGCGTGCAAGTTTTTCAGCTCTTTGCGCACCTCGTGTGTTTGTTTACCTGCCAAGTGCTTCCACGTGTTTTTATTCCCCCCCCCCCCTCCCCCCACCCCCCGACCTCAACCAATGACGGCATGAGCTTGGCTGCCTTGTCATTGCACATTCCCCGCATTCTTTCTGTTCCCCTTTGATTGGCGTGCCCCCCCCCCCCCCCCCCCCCCTTACTCCTTTTTGCGTCTCAATGCACCAGACACAATTTGGAATACTTCTGTGTTCTATATGTACAATTAACTTGTGCTTCATGTAACAAAAATACAAAATACTAAATTCGCAAACAAAAAATTTGCAGCACTTTTTATGGTTATGGTTCTATGATACTTCCAGCAAAGCCTGTCCATCACAAAAATGCATAGCACCACAGAAAAAAGGGACATAGTGAAATCTTCATCTGTGTTTCATTATTTTTGTACTGTTGTGCGAATGTTTGGCGCGCTATTCGATATTCGCTTCGAGATGAACTGTAACATTCATATTTTTCCAAGCGTCGATCGCGGGCCCCGTGGGTGCTGCTTCTCCGCAGTGCAGCGGTGCTTGGCAAGAAGCACACTCAACAGGGCTAGCCCGCTGCGGTCAACACTTCAAAAGGTACAAATATTGCAGACGCATGTTTAGGAGGAAATCTCCTTTCCAGAGCCTCTGTCTTTTGTTAGTAGTACCTTGTATCGGCGAGCCATATTCGCTTGTCGTAACGTCTTGCTTTATTGCAAATGTCTTATTACTACCGTGATTTATCATCTTAACACATGTTCTTTTCTCTTGTACACAGTCAGATCCCCAGATTAAGGCCCTTTCTATCATAGTCCCACAAAAAACTACTTGCATTTAAAAAAAAGAAGGAAAAAAAGCGGAATGGTACATAGTATGTAAGTGAAAGGCTAAGAGAAACTATTGAGGCAAAAGCCTTATATGTCCCATTACGGGAAAAGGCGTCAGCGTTGTGCCCGAAAAGCATGCGCCGCTCAAAATCAAAGCAGATGCGCCTCAGAAATAAAACAAAAAAAAAGAACAGCAACGCAGATGCTTCATCGTGGAAGCCGTGAAGCCGGCGGGAGCACTGCACCTGCGCAGTGGGGAATGTGATGTCCTCGCTGAAGCACCGCATGTAAAAGGAAGATGTGACGCGTTGCCTCCGGTGCGTCGGACTTCATGCTCGTTGTGCGCTTCGTGCGATGGACTGCAAGGTGATCACATCTATACCTACGGCAGCACACTGAATACAATACCGGCAGAAACAACTTTAGTACATGTAGAAACGTTACTCGAAAACATTTCAACCGCGGGACTATAATGCTTTCACATTTCTACACGTAAGCAGTCTTAAGTGTCTTCGGCGTGTTTTTAATTAATCAATTTGCAAATACTCGGCCAAATTCACTATTCGCTTTAAACTCAAAATCCACTTTTTGCACATGCCTAAATTTTAGTCATGTGCAATGCTATTGTGTCATATAGAAATCTTGGGTATTTTTGTCCCAAGCTGGAGGTTGCATACCTCGAAATCCCCCATGAGGAGGCTGAGTAAGCCTCTAAACATGGAGTCCCTGTTCAGGGCTTGGTTGGGCGTCCTTCTTTTTTAATTATTCCACCCAACCAAACGGATCTCTCTTAAATATTCACGTTCAAGACTCGCAGGAGATACACTTGCACCATTTCGGGGTATGTTTTACTTAATTACATGTTGAAACGAGCTCTATTAAAAATTTAGAATACAAATACATTTAAACTATCAACATAAAAAGAAGCATGCATTTCGAAGTCCACAACTTTCTTTTCATGAACCAATGCCGAGCGGTAGTGTGTGCACCGACACCCTAGTAGTAAAAAATTTTTATTCAAGTGGTCGAGCCTTTAAAGTCGCACTCAATCGTATGGAAATAAAACTTGGTAGAAAGGGGCAGCTCTTGGAAGTAGAAAGGATAAAATTGTCTTGAACTGTGAACAGTAGCGTGTTGCAAAACCTGAAAGCACTTTTTGAAAAATATTTTTAATTGATCTACTTTCACCACTCTGATCGCAAACAAAAGGAAACCTCAGGCTTTACAGATCTTGGCAATCATTTATTCTGTATCACTTGTTGCTGACAAGGAAACACATACTACTACCATAGAATACCGTGCATCCGCCCATTCCGCACTAAGCGCCCATATCCAAATTTCTAAAATCTGTGAAAATATGCACAGTTCATTTATATGTAAAACTGATGACCGGACAAGCGCCCATCCTTCATTTTTTCGCGATTATCTCTAAATTTTGAGTGGGCGCTTGTTTGGTATTTTACGGTACTACTATATCCAAATGTTTAACCAAAAAACTTTAAATAAAATCCTTTAAAAAAAATTTTTTTTCTTCAAAAAATGCACACATGTGCTTTTCACAAATGTCCGAGGTACCTAGGGGGAAAACTATTCCTCGACTAAAAAGCATGAGCACTCACTGTATACTCAAATCGTACATACGCCTAACATCTTTTGTCTCCCAGGAGCCCATTTTAACAACTCGAAGCATTTTTCATCCCTAGTGTCCAAATATATTTGGATAGATCCACTCCTTATTTCTTAAACAGTTTATTGGTGTTGAAACTAACGTAAACAATGTGCCACTTTGTCAGTGTTGAACTGAACAGCCAGTACCAATCTTAGCTGGTGGATGACGAGTATTGCTGTGATCACTTCAGCCGCATGCAAGTGAGGCTGCAGGACTGATATGTCCACATTACCTTAAAGGGATACTACAACGAAATTTCGGCGCTCATTTTTTGGTCTATATGTGTTCAAAAGAGCAGTATCACATGGAACATACCAATGTCTTGTTAAAAAAGTCTCGAAAAGGAATTTTAAAACGAATGAAACGATTAGCAAAGAGCACCTGGTGGATGTCGCTGTCGCCTCGTTTGTAATGCTCGTCTAGAAACCTTGACAGCTAGTGACGGAGGTTGTCTCGTCTCCGGCCACGACGAGAGAAGGAGGGAAGGAGGAACTCCCCTCTTCCCGAGAATCCCTTTTGTGTGTCGCAGAAGTCGCTATTATCCCCCTAGAAGATTATAGAAGATTAACCCGTCACTCAAAATTCGTACAAAAGCAGCCGCTTCGGTGGCTGGAACGACTAGGCCATCCTCTCGACGTCAGCCTCGCCGTAGCTTTGCTCGTCTTGAGACGACCTACGTCACGATTGCGTTAGATGTCACGTGCTCTAAGCTGGGCCTTCTCCGAGCGCTTGCCAGAGTGGGCCGTTTATAACGAAAAATACAGCCACCAGGATCAAAATACAAATGTGCGATTGTCATTTACGGATATTGTGGATCATATTCAACTTATTTTTGAACACGACGGGAATATTTCAAATTTCGTTGAAGTATCCCTTTAAGGGGGACGAGGATAAACTAGACTCAAAGTGGCGATCTGTACTGTCGCTTCCTTCCGCTCCAAGCTTAGAGAAATAACAAGCTTTAATAACCTTCCACCTGCTGCCCCAGTCTGACTGTATTTACGATGCGGCATTCTGGCAGCTGCCTGTTTCTTTGAAGCAACTACTATCACCCCTGAGCATACCTCGGCAAACCTCACTCATGAGGGCCCTCACTCACCCTCATCTTCACAGGTGAGGTGAGGGTGAGTGAGTTTCTGAACCAGGAAAATTCATGAGTGTGAGGGTGAGTGAGGGCGGTGAGGGGTATGAGGGCCATGAGTGCGTGAGGGGCGTGAGGACGGTGAGTGGTGTGAGGGCCATGAGTGCGTGAGGGGTGTGAGGGCGGTGAGTGCGTGAGGGGTGTAGGGCCATGAGTGCGTGAGGGCAGTAAGGACGGTGAGTGCATGAGGGGTGTGAGGGCCATGAGTGCGTAAGGGCGGTGAGTGCGTGGCCCCCTTCAGACGGAGCATCTTTCTCAGCAATTTCGGTGTTGATGGCGGGTTGTTCTCTAGCTTTCCTTAGATCGACACGAATTGCTGAGATCGGGTCCGGTTCGAAATAAGCAAGCAACTCGGAGCAATTCGAACACGCTTGAAGCGGCTGCATCCAATCGGGGATGCAAAATTTTCACGTGATACCTCATGCCGGAGATGACGACACCGAAAGACTTGGTTCTGGTTTGAAATCAATCGTTTTTGAAAATAAACTGTTTCAGAAAGGTGCATTAGTATTCTTAACGAGATTTACATGCATAAAAACACGTTTATAACGCGTAATTCTGTCTAAATAGTGCAAGAAAAATAAAATTTTATGATGATGGCAAATTGCAGCAATTGGTTGCTGCGTGTGATCGTGGGTGGCCCGTGTTGCTGGTGTTGCGACGTCAAGTTTCTGGGCAAAATTGCCCCATCTGAAGCTGGCCTGAGTGGCGTGAGGGCCATCAGTGCGTGAGGGGTGTGAGGGCCGCGAGGGCGGTGAGTGCGTGAGGGCGGTGAGTGGCGTGAGGGCCATGAGTGTGCGAGGGCAGTGAGGGCGGTGAGTGGCGTGAGGGCCATGAGTGGGTGAGGGCGGTGAGTGGCGTGAGGGCCGTGAGGTTCAGTGAAGGTGAGTGAAGGGCTGAAGGTGAGTGCGACTGTGAGGGTGAGTGAGGGGCTGACGGTGAGTGCAGCTGTGAGGGTGAGGGAGAGTGAGGGGCTTAGGTGAGTGTGGTTGTGAGGGTGAGTGAGGGCGACCTAAAATGCCGACCTCTGCCCCTGAGTACACGTGACAGAGTTGAACATCAGTAACATGCAGAAGGCTGCAGATCTATGCTAGCAGTATGGTGGTTCCACCATAGTAAAGTCTAACCCTTTGGTTTTTACTCACAAAATGTGTTCAAAACATGCACTGCAAGAAATGAGCGAGAAGGCACATAGTAAGGGCATGCAGAGTGTGACTGGGACACCAGTGATAAGCAGTAGCCATGACTTGGAAAATATTACCATGACACAGATGGCAAGCATTATGGAATGTATTTTTCATGTCTGCATTTGAAATAAGCCAAATCTAAACTCTTAAGTGGGGCATGTACGAAACTGCGTATAGATGAACAAATGAACAGATGGATGTGTAAACTTATACAAAGGACTGTGCTACTGGTAAATGTGTTATATCACAGAACTATTAGAGTCCAACCGACTTGACTGAAGACAAGCATTTGAAATAAACTTTTGGCTTTACCAGTACCTTCATCCTAGAGGAAGTTTGAAGCTTTCGACTTCAGTAACATAAATGTCAGATAAACTATGATAAACTTGTGACCTAAAAACACCTTGTGGTGTTGTTAAAGGAAACATATTTTATATTCAAAGATATGTGTTTCAGCTCTTTCTACTCCGTCAGTACGAAGCTTATTTCATTGTAAGCTTTTTTTGCAGCAACAATTCCCAATTTCACTATAACAAATTTACCACTGAATCTGTCAAAGAGACAAGGGTCCTCCATCGGGACATCAGTTTGTGCGATCCATACTTATGCACATTACACAAAAATCTTAGAATGACATCACTTGTGACAAACTAGTGCTGCTAAAACAAAGGCAATCACAGAAAGACCACCAAATTTTGAGCAATTGAATGCAAGTCAAATTCGTTGTATGAATGTTGATAAAATAGGGTGTGCCATGAAACGTGGTCACTACATGTCATCTCTGCTACAGAGAGGCAATTTGGCCAAAGTAGTATGACTCCTAACCGGAGATCTCTCTTGATTCACGAGGTTTCAATTATCATGAATACATGCTGGTACAATGCCTGTCTATGTCAAAACCAGCAGGAGTGAGATTTCAACTCATTAATGTCCTCAATCTGTAGTGCACACTTTCACTCCACATGCTAGTACTGAGCTGTGGTATACTAACAATCCTTAATCCAACACTTCCCAAAACATTGAGTACAAGATGAACGGAACCAACTGTTCCAGGAACATGTCTTCATTTGTGCTTTGTACAGAACATGTCTAGCAGACGGAAACCAGAACACCTAACGAAGCGTCGCTTGTAACAGGAAAGTTTGAGTCTAAACTCGTCGTGCTGTGCCACCCAGCTTTGACGACGAAATCTTTCTGCTCTCGACGCCCGTGCACGCTGCACCATTGCGAAGACTATCCATAATACTGCGTCATTGCACGCCACAAAAGTCGGTCGGGCTAAATCTCTACCGTGCCCTCCGCCTCCCATCACTTTCACACACAGACAGGATCACACGAGCGTTGTGTCGCAAAACAAGCAGAGGGGGTCGTCGTCCGTCCAAACGGGCGTCCGATGAGACAGCAGCCCGCACGGAACGCACCTTCGATTTGGGCTTTCGTCACACACGAGGAGCGAGTGCATGCAGCGGCCCCACTTGTGATGATTCAGGCACTCCCACGAATCCAGGTTCTCCACCAGCACGCCACAGTTGCAGATCGGACAGCTCTCCACACCGCTCTCGCTATGTTCGTCTTCGGCCTTCGTCTCCGACGACGGCAGCGGCTGCAGTGTTGCTGTCGTCGTTTCGGACTGCGGACGCCCCGCTGCTTCGAGGAGGATGCCCAGCCTCTTGTTAGGAGTGCGGTTTGTCAGCGCCATCCAGCTCGCGAAGTGACGGAGAGACCGCACCTGCCGGGCGTCCAGAGATTCTGCATTGCAGTTCTCGACGACGGCCGACACGTGACGCCACAGGACCTCTTCGTTCGTTCTTGACACATCCTACACGGCAGAATGGTTCTCTTGTTTCGTTGCCAAGCTAACAGATTGCTTGTATTTTGAGTTTGCAATAAGAAAACCTGAAACTATCTTTACAAAGTGTGTCAACATATGAAAAAAAAAAGAATGCTTACAAAATTTGACGGCACAAGGTGGAGCATTTAGAATAAAAAAAATGTAAGCTATAACTGACAGTGGTTTGTACTGACTTGTACATCATTCATGCTTCTACCTGAATGGAATGGATTCTGCAAGCCTTAGTACTGGATAGCATTGCAGAGGGCTATGAACTCATAATTTCAACTTTAGAAACACAACAGTGCCACAGACATGAATGCAAGTCAAAGGACACATACACAGCACCTTTCTACATGTGCAATTCTTTTACCTACCATCTTGTTTCTGTACCTATTATCTCTTTCTAAAGACGTAGCATACCAATTAGCTAAAGTTCTCATCATACTGTGTCACATAACTTGTTCCAGTTAGGAAGCAGACTGAACTGAATGAAGCAAGACACTTGACAAAAAAATATATGATTGGGCTTACCGATTCCTCCCCTTTGCTCAGGGACACATTGATTCTTGTAAGAAAGCTGCATAAGAAAATTCTCACTTCATTATGCAGCAAGCGTCAAAGCAGCATGGACAATAGCAGGCTTGCAGGTGCACAAAAAATCATCTGGCTGCCATGGTTTTTCATGCTTGTTTTTACCCTTTTCCTTACTGCATCTTATGTTGTAATTTTCTTTACGCAATAAATATATTGCTATAGTGCCATGTAGGTATATTTTTAATAAAGTAACAAACACAATTGCTCGAAACTGAAAGGACTGGGGAAGAAGGAGAAATGTAGAGGAGGAAAGAGTTGCAAAAGTCACGTGGCTACACCTGAACACATTTTTTTTTCTTCATTTTTCTGTATGTGTGAAGCAGACGAAAAACGTGCGTGTTGCACATTGCACAAAGAATGCAAAAGTCAAGCACCTCGTGCTTGACGTTTGCACATTTTTTAAGCTCTTACTGATTCGGGTTCATAAGGCGAGCAATGTCTTCAGCCAGGAGAAGGGGCGACGACTCAGCGACGTCTTTGTGCGTATCAGCTTGGTGGTCGGGCGTGTCGTACGGAATAAATCCTACCGTAATATCCCGAGTCATCGCCCACCCCCCAATTGCCTGAAATTCGTTAAAAAAGTGGAGTGGGCCATGTCTCGGTGGGTGAGCACACACTTGAAAAAAAGCGAAAAAAACGCCTATTTTTCTTTGCGTATCTAGCGCTGATGCACAAGAGATACATCAAACTCAAAACTCGATTTAGTTTCATTGTTTTATAGAAAAAAATGCTCACGAAAGAATATTTTACTATAGCGAAGTCTGTTGCTTGCATACGCGCTAGAAACACCGCCGATCTGCATATAGCACGAACGTTTGTTCAGTGAAAGAATGTCACCATTATGTTCTCCTAGTTAGTAAAAAAAAAGAAAGAAAAGTCTACAAGAAAATAGAAAAACCGACCAGGCGCAACGAGCGAGTGAGTGAGGGAGCGAGCGGACCAAAGAAGCGACCAAGAGCAATGCTTGAAAAGCGGGAAAGCCGGCGGTCGCGTTGGCAAATACTTTGGCGTCGGGCCAAGTCGGGCGCCTTGTCAATTGCAAGCTCTTGCGCAACTTTCTTGTTTGGTGCGTACATACGTGCGACCGTGCGCGGCGGGCTATCAATGCACGGTTGGGACGTTCTGCAAACGTCTGTGGCTACGTTTACATGGATGCGACAGCAGCGCATCGGATCCAGTTAGCGAATCGGATCCACTACAACCATCAAGTTTACATGGATTCGAATCGACCAGCAGCGGCACCTCGTGTCGAAGGATCACAACGCAAACGTCGTGACCTTCAGATTGTTTCCGAGGTGTCCGGTTTGCCTAGCGGCAGGCGAAGCAAAGCTCCCGTAATCCCTCGCTCGAGCACTCGATTCGATCCGCTAGCGTGTACATGAAGAGTCTCGATTCGGATTGACCATCTCAAACCACCCCGTCCCAGCGGATCGGATCGACTCCGATCCGATCCGATCCGAGTTGTTTACATGTGCCCATTCGATTCGTTAACTGGATCCGATGCGCTGCAGTCGCATCCATGTAAACGTAGCCTGTGTAGGACGTTCCAGTAAAGCTTTATTTACGCTTTGGCTTTGCCTAAAATATTGCACAACCGCGGCCGCGTCATTCGGGTAGGATGAGTGTTCGCGGATCGCAGAGTCCGCGCTGGGGTATTTGAAGGGGTGGGCGATGACTTGGTGTTTTTTCGGAAATCGATATTGGCCCCAAAAATGGGGTGGGCGATGGCTCGGGGATGGGCGATGACTCGGGATATTACGGTAATTGTTTTGATCGGTAAAATATTTCTCTTTCAATGCTAGACAGATTATCCGGTACCGCGAACAACAGTTCTGAAGTAGAGGTCCCACGCCCGTCGTTCGTCCCCTTCGAGGCGAGTCCCGCAATAAGACGACATGTTGAGAATAACACAGAGAATGCACAGAACGTTTCCGGTTCTCTGTGCAACTTTTTTTTTCTTCGATCAACGTGTTTGCAGCTTTTTAAAAGCCGCAAAAAATGGGTATCATATTTTTTCTGTCTTTAATATTGAGTGTAAGCTTTTGATGACCCACAACTTTGATTATATTTGGTGTGTATGTCTAGACCAGGGGTGGCCAAGCTGCGGCTCTTCGCGTGTTAAAGTGCAGCTCGCGGCTCCACCCCCCTTCCACGAGCATTTCCTCAAAAAGAGAAATGGAACGCATTTTAAATCGAGAGACAGGTTGCAGTTTGGTAGTCTTGTACTACTGCTACCTTACGTACAGTCCGACTGCTTTTGACTCGGATAGATTGAAAGTTGCTCGAGTTTAGTTTACTGCACTGGACAAAAGTTTTCCTGCTCCCCCCCCCCTGCGGCTCTTGGAAGTTTCAGGGTTGCGTTTGCGGCTCTTAGGCCAGGTCAGCCTGGCCACCCCTGGTCTAAACCATAGAGAATGGCACGTGACCACGGAGAAGAGAGTGAGCACAACTCAAACCGGCCAGTTCTTGAGGAGCGGTTTTCAGGCAAAAAAGAAAACAAATTTTGAGCCGCTAATTGTGTTCTGGGTAGTCAGGTTCTCATATGTCATGTACAAATAAAAAATTTTGCCGAGCATAAATACCCTGTCAGTATCCCTTTATGCAAGAGTAAAATATGTCGGTAAACCTAATCACATAAAACGGCAGACAGCATCAAAATCAAGAGACAACAGAAAAGGCCTTGAGATAGCAAATATAAAAAAATGAAGTTTTAGAAAATCCTGAGAGATGATTGTCTTGAGTTTCCTGGATTCTGCCACTAAGCAGGTGTAAAACTTGGTGAAAAAAAGTTTATGGGAAAGCACTATGATTTATCTCGTGCAAAAACTAGTACCAAGCCAGACATAACTGTGTTTCTTCATTTAGCATCAGTGTAATAAGAAGGTATGGATAGCATAGGGACTCTGGAAGGCACCTCATATAGTACTGAGCTTTAAAGCACCGCATCAGCTCGCTCGGCCAAGACCGACACTGCCCAGTACTGCATTGTAAGGTGGAGGGAACTCACCTGAAAAGCTTCAGCCCAAAGGACGAGAGCTTTGAGAGGTGCTCCCTGCTTTCTCTAACAAAGTCTTCTAGTGGCTGGGGCAGTGCACTGGTGCTGCTCGCAAAAGAGTGCACCCTGTCCAGGCAGTCCACCAGCAAGCACAACCCCCCCTCCGAGCCCTGCTCAGCTGCCCTGCTCAGCAGCCGCTGGCAAGCCAGCTCCACGGAGACCAGATTGTAGATTGTCAGCTGGGCAAAAAGGAACGATCAGCAAAGTGGCGTCTGCATAACAGCCTGCAGAATGCACGTCACACTTTGGAGAGGGTCGAAGCACCGTTTTCGTATAGAGGTCAGTGGTACTGCGCTGAATCTGTGCATTTCATGTTGACAGTTTTGAGTGGTGCTGCATTAACAACACACAGAAAAAAAATTCCTATTGTATTCTGTGTGAGCATTAGCTGAAAACCATAAGGCTGAAATTATGAAATACAAATCTTCAAAGTCCCTGGTTAGCAAACACAAATGTATTCCAATACTCAAGTAAACAGAGTACAAATCTACTCTATCTGACAAAAAGCTCAAATGCACAATACTGAAAACTTTATCATATCATCCCTGCTCATACATCACGCTTAAGCTCTTACTAGAACAAGCATGACTGACTAGAATAAAAAAAAAGTTTGTTCAGGGTTTAATACAAAAAGTGACTGACGAAACTAGTAAGACCATAAAATGGAAGGTTTTTCTCACAAGTAAATTGCTTGAATGCATTCTAGCACAATAGTTTAGAGTTTACATCAATCAGCAAAACGCTCCCGCTGTTCTCCTTGTCCTCCCATCTGCTTGCTGTTTGTTTACTAGCACACACATTTGCCTCGCACGCCATTTACAAGAAAGTTTCCAGATGAGAGAACCAATTATCACTTTTACTGTTACATTTATGACACGAATGAGGAGCGCACCGAAGCGGTCTCAGCAAAGACAAACAGCCTAAACACACAAAAAAAAATGACGCCACATGTACGCTTAATTTTAGGGAGTACACTAGTTATCACTTTCACAAGAGATCAGATGATAGGTGAACGCATACCAGTATGCTCTTAGGTATGTTTAAATACAGTAACGTCCTGAAAAAACGGCCACTATAAATGAAGAAATAAATGGTAAAAATTGTCTGGGATGCGGCAGCAAAATTTTATAAAAAAAACTAGTGATAAGCATTGGGGGGGGGGGACTAAGCTATCATGAAACGGGAACTGGGAATTTGCTACAAACTCCCCTGCCACGGGTACGGCCGCAGAACGCAGATGCAGCACAATTGCGCTCAACAGTGTGATATACATGCAAGAACCCTCTACAAACTCGTCTGTCACAGGAATCTATATCAAGTGCACAGACTGTGGACATAAGTGCAGAAACTTACTACAAACTCGCATGTATAGATACCGCAGATTGCGGACATAGCAGGTTCGCGTTTCATGGCGTGATAAACACAAGAAAACGCTACAAACTCGCCTTTCTCAGAAACCGAAATTGCATGCGCAAATCGCAGACAAAAAAATAAAAACGCGTTATGAGTTACGAATTTGCATGTCACGGAAATGGATACTGCAGATTGCGGACGCGGCAGGTTCGCGTGTCACGGTGTGAAAAGCACGAGGGTCCACGTCGAACACGCTTGTAGCACATACTGATACCGCAAATCGCGTGGTTGATGTGATTTCCGGCGGATATCGCACGATTGATATCTGGCAGGAATCGGAGGGAGGGAAGCGATGCTTCGAAATTTTTGCTATGAATATTCAGCCCAAAAAATGGGATGGGCAATCTCTCAGGGGCAGGCATTCATACAAAACTTTACAGTATACGAATCTAATGCGTGCGGTATTTCGAAGATACACAGCCATGTTCAATGTCATTCTGTCAAAAAAGAAAGTGAACAACGAACTGATGCTTCATTACTTCCGACAAAGCCACCCAGGCATGTGCCTTTTTCGGAGATCAGACACTTGCACGCTGTTAGCTGAGCTGGGGCACTGATGGCACAAAGCCAAAGTGCGCAAACAAGTGCTTTGAAGGCACTGGTAGGGGAAATGGAAATAAACAGGCAACTTTAATTGTTTGCTTGTTCATGTTCGCCCAAATACGGTACATTTCTGAACAACAATAAAAGCATTTACTTTTCTCCGCGTTCAAAACGGAAGACTTAACCAACTCGCGCGGTTTTCCTTCATGCGGCTGGTGCTTGACAAATCATCAACTTGAGACCATGAAATAAAACAGAACATTGTCTATTTGCCTGGTCCGTAATAAGTCATGGTCATTCTCATTAGATGAAAATAAGCACCTGGTGCCTGTTTTCATCAAACGAGTCGCCTGCTTTGACATTGACATGACCACATCGGAATGGCGGCTCTATAATATTGGTTCAGAATTATTTAAACGAACACAACACGGTAAACCACCGTGATCAGTAAAAAAATACTCCAGAAAACTTAATGATTAAAACAAAAAATTTTTTCGGTCTAGTTTTGGCGCAAAATTTGCACTTCGGAACAGGATGGCACAGCGAAACTGGACTGGTGCCAGGGACGCCGGAAGAGGGGGGGCAGGGGGGGCCAGAGCCCCCCCAAGTATTCTTATGGGGGGGCTCAGCCCCCTTGCCCTCATAAGAATAGTTCGGGGATATAACGCCAGCCAGGCGCTCGTCACGAAGGCATCACGTGCGTCCATGTTAGGTGCAAGCCACGGAGCAGCAAGGCACAGTCTTGTCGCACGTAGAGATTTTAGACAAGAACAATTAATTTCGGGAGCGCGCTTTTTTTTTTTTTAATCCAATGTCCGTCGTTTATCAGCACGGCGGCTACGAGGGTTTAGAGCAAGCTGGACCCGATCTGCCCGTGGCAAGGCCGGGGAGTGGCGCGCGGGGGCCAACTGGGGCTTAGTATGGGGGCCTCTAGAGTCCGGGGATTATAATTTTGTTGGTGTTGCTGTTGTCGTAGCGTGGGGGATACTGCGACGAGACATGTGTGGCGCCAGATTGTCGCCTCGGACCGGACGCTTTCTGTCATATTTGACGAGCTTTGACGGTTGTTTTCGTTTAGGAAGGTCTCAAGATGTCCTTGCCGGCGACTGGTCCGGTCGAGAGCACGTGATGATCTTCAGATTTGAAATTATTGGCTCTTCCTTCGAGAGCGAGGGAAAGTTAGAGTTGTGATGCGAAAAGCGAGAAATGAAATTAGCGGAGTTCGTCTTAGACTCGGAACCGGAGAGGTGGTCGTCCAAGTTGAATGCGTTTAGATAAATGTTGAAGTTTACGAGAAGCAGCGAGTCAGAGCATCATTCAACAACGTGCCCGCCACCAAGCTCCAAGATCATCGGGGCTGATCCTACCCTCCCAACGACATCGGGAGGGTCCAACCCGTCAGAGGCGTATGCAGTCAGCGTCAGTCAGTGTCTCTTCGACTCCAGCATTACATGCAATGTCTGGCCATCCAAAGAAGATCACCAGCATCTTCTTCCTACCAGCCCCAAAGCGTACATGCCTAGGAAGCGGAGATTCTCAAGGTAAGATATTCCGCAGTTCTTCTTAGCTCATCATGAGTTCCGTTTGTGTAAATGCGTCAATTCAATCACGCTGCTTGTTTCCTCGCTTTCCTAATTTGTAGACCATTAATAAAGAAGTGATCTCTGAAAACGTATTATGTACAGTTCCTTCTTGATGATATACAATATTTAGCAATTAGGAGCACTGCGTAAGAAAATTGTTTTCTCATGCAGAAAATAGAAACCGCACAGGACCTAGTGAAAGGAACAAAAACGAAGCCGCTAGGATAGTGTTTTCTCTCAAACGAAACTCAGATCGTTATATTTAAATTATTTTTAGTAAAAAAAAAAAAAATAGTACATCATACAAAAAACGACAAAAAGGAACATGGCTTTAGCCCCCCCACTCACGATATACTTCCGGCGTCCCTGACTGGTGCACAATGGTACAATTGGAGCAGCGCTTTTACCCCTGCACACCCGTAAAGTAAATTAATAGCCGCACTTTAAGAGTTATCCGTTTTTGGTTCAGGAGCTAGACTTGGCAAAGTACTAGCAGGATTCCAACTATCTGTCTACGCGGGAGGGCAGGGCATGGCACACGAAATGTGCCTATCTAATTCCCACAGGTCTGGCCACAATCCACCCCAGAAAATAACATAGGACAAGCCACTTTGAAAGTATATATAGTGGAGCTAGCTCCTTCCATCACTGCACTTTTCATCTTGTTTGTTTATTTCACACTTCAGGCATGTGGTCATCAGTTGACTCACCTGCAATGGCTCCCTGATAACATTGTAGTTGTATGGTGTGGCAATGCTGTAAAAACAACAACAAATTTTGAAGATTGGTGCACAACATGACACCCCATTCCGTCTCTCAGTCGAAACTGCCGTGCGTCATGCCGTATCAAAGTTGCAAGTAACTCACTGGTAGAAGATGGCCATGAAGATGCCGTTTGGGGATATGTTCAGTCCCACGGGCTGCAGCATCCAGGGAAGCTCGATGCTCAACCTCTCATTGGTAAACTGCAACTCTAAAGAAAAAAAAGAAAAAAGAACTTGAAAATTTTTTTTGAAAAAGGTAAAGCAGTTAACATCTACAACTTCACTATCATGACATCATGACAAGATTCATTTGTAGCTTACCTATGCTGACTTATGAAAGCTGTGAGTGAACAAACTGATAGCTTTCAAAGAAAGTTGAGCTGTGCCTCTTTGTATTAGCAGAAACATAAAACGTATGAGACCACAGTTTCAGCTTTCAGCAGTCTAGATGAAATGCACACAAAGTTTAGTGTCGAGGGCCTACGTCGCCAGAGTGCAGACACGAGTAACTCACAAAATAGGTTCCAATTGCAAGAAATTAATGCGTGCTTGCAGTACTATGCTACATTATTCTCAATAAAAGTCAAGTCTTCAGATTCTGCAGAACGGCACAACAATTTCAAACTTCAGAGTTCTAACAATATCCTCACATCAGTAAGGTCCTGTTGCATCCACGACACTATTAGTATGTGACAGTGCCCTGGTGGAAGTAAAGGAGGCCCTTCGTTCGCAGTGGTGCCATCAACTAATATAATAGCCCACTTCAACAACTGTTAACCATAATCCATTTTACTTCAGTTTTCTATTTCTGAAAATGGTGAGCGTTCCAGTGTGAAAAGTAAGTCCTCAGAATCTCAGAAGTTTCGTAGTTGGAGCGCTAGACACTGCAAACTGAGACAGTGGAACTGGCAGAGGGTTCTCCAGATGGCGACTTGCCTTTGTTTACCTTGACTTCCACGATGTGCCCACTCATCGTGCACGCAAGGAGATGCAGCTCCCATTCTGTCGATGGGCACTGGTCAAAGGCTGTGCAAACAGTAAGGTCTTTTAGCATCCAGGCTATGTTTACACCTCTACTCCATGTCACTAGTTGCATGCAGTACAGGCAAAGCCAGCATCAGGTAAGGAAAGAAAGGGCAAGCACTAGGCAGGCTGAAGAGGAGGAGAGGAACCTCCTTTCCTTTCTAACGTCCCTTGTGCTTTCCCTTTCTCCCCTTGCCCTCTACTGCCCTCCCCTCCCGTACCGCTTTCCTCGTGCTCGTGCTTAATTTTCCCTTCACCTGGCGTTGCCTTTGCCCGCACTGCACACAATTAGTGGCACAAAGCAGGGCCGTACCCAAAAAAAAATTTCGGGGGGGGGGGGGGGGGGGGGTTTTGTGGACAACGGCGGCCATTTTGAGTGTCTATTGTCTTATTTTCGCCTACGAATCATGTGCATCGGTGGCATATAATAGAGAGTTGCAGCAAACCGGAGAACCGGTCCCGGTTTGGTATCCGGTAGCCGACCGGCACCACTGCGCGTGCGCAGAGGTGGAGATTAAAATTGGCTGGCTGCAAGTGCACCGACCAGGGCCGTACCCAGAAAAAAATTTCGGGGGGGGGGGGGGGGTCAGAACCCCCTAATTCCCCCCCCTGGTTACGGCCCTAGCACGAAGTATAAGAGAAATGCTGAACAGCTAAGGGCCTCGACAGAGTTCTGGATCATGCAATCTCGGGCCCTCCAAACTAGGAAAGAGGGTGGGATTGGCATGAAATCACAATCAAGTAGATTGTGATCTGAAGTGATTTGAGCGAGGTGCAACTTTACTGAAGATAATCAGAAATTCATGAATACCGTATTTACTCGAGTAATAGCCACGCTGTTTATGAAAAAAACCTGAGGGTTCGCTTTTCCGCAGAGCATGCGGCTTGCCAATCAGCGCGATCGGCAGCATGATTCCAGCGGTTTACAGGACAGAGTTAACGTTATCGCGCGAAGATACCATCTGAAGTGATGTGATTGGCCTAAGCCATCTTGGAGCAGCTTTCGGAGCAGCCAGAACAGTGTTTTGGAGCAGCAAATGTGGCCTTTGGAACGACCAATACAGTGTTTTGGAGCATCAAAAGTGGCTTTTGGAACAGCCAAGACAGTGTTTCGGAACAGCGAAAATGGCTTTTGGAGCAGATATTCTTAGAAAAATAAAAAAATTTGTTTTTAGTGCTGTACATACAAAGGGCACTTTGTGAAGCGTTGTGTTCTGATGTGGCGTGTTGTGAGGGAACTCGCTGCTTGTGTTTTTACTGCTGAGACATCCCACAAGTGTACAGTGCTGTAGGCATTGCCGAGCGATTTTGAAAAACCGCTTGCCACTGTTTGACTGGTTCCCGACGTGCCAGATTTTAGTCAAAAGTAAGCAAATGTAAAACAATGGATTGCAAGCGTCCCAGCTGGTGCTTCTGTCGTGCAATCATATTCGCATGCACGTGAGGCCAACTTCGGCAGGCTTGCAGTTGCGCGTGCTTCGTCGCGCGAGCTGAGACAACGGCTGTTCGATCGAAACCGAAACCATGTCACTCCGCTCCGTCGCCAACTGATCCCCAAAATTGTATGCAAAATACAACTGTCGAGCATACTACAATAAAACGTCCAGCGGCGTGTGCTTGCCAGGCCGGCAAACAAGGTACAAGCTAAACATATGCAAAAAAAGGGGGAAAAAAGTACCTGAGCTATCGATACAAAACATTGCGAGCCAGGGTCGAAAAATTCTTGGAGCGCTTTGTGCAACGACTGAACTCGAGACAAACAAGCGCGCTGTGAGGGTTCAGCATGCAGACATTGCCTTCTTTGCTTTAGCTAACTTTTTTTTATCAACCTTCTTTCGCGGCAGATTTTTCACGTACCGGGGTCCCTCACGAAGGAAAGCTCACCCAAAGAAACCTAGGTAATGAATACTTCGACACAGCAGTCTTTGAGTTAAAGAGGGATTTTTGTAGTAACGTAGGATTCAAACAAGAACAGGAATGTTGCTGAACATGCAGCGGTACTTAGTTTCATTTTAGAGAACACATATCTGCAGCTTCATGGGGACGGCAACACCCAACGTCGCGCGACGACGGTGACTGGAAGGCAGGGACCAAATACAGTTTTCCCACGGTCGTTGCTTTCAGGAGAGAGTGCTTCAGCTCACAAAGTAACTCCCGCCGCGCAAAAACGTGGTTTTGTTTCACAGCATGACGGCAAGGATGCACCTGGCACGTTAGCGTCGGGGCATCCGCACACCCTCCCGTCTATCAAAGGAAAAAAAAAAGGCGCTAGACAAGATTTACGAGACGAGAGCGCGAAACGCGAGACGGCGAGAAAACCATGCAAGACCGGATGGACGATTATTGCAGGGTACTTAGTGTCGGCCTCAATTGCTCAATTGCACATGCTCAATTACGGTACTCAGTTTAGTTTCAATTTTGAAAGGCGACCGAAATTGGTCCTTTGGTGCAGGCTTGGTGCAGATTACCCCTATTTTGGCAAAATGTAGCAGGATGTAGCAGGGTTAGCCCCTTTGCGCAGTTTGGCGCAATTGGCGTAGCAATCACATCACTGCATCTGTGAAGATTGCATTTGTATAAAGAATCGTAATCTCTATCTAGTTATTTGCTATGCTATTTATGCGCAAAACAATGATTGGCTGTATATGTGTTCTGCGGGAAAGCAGACGCAAGGGCCTTGTTCATAAATAGTGCGGCTATTACTCGAGTGAATACGGTACATACAATTGGGCTAAACTGAACTGTTGTTTCGAAATGAGTGCAAGAAACTAGCCCTTGAGGTTGAATAAAACCAGTGTTCTATCTTAAAATCGCTACCTTTTTGAGAGATACACCAGCCTTACCACCAGTTCATCATTTCTGAAATGTGAGGCATGCACATTGTCATCAGCAATGCAAGTACTAGGAATGCCATGATGGCAACTTGCAATAATTACCTACGGTAGTACCAAGTTATGGGGCTTCACTAACGATATCAAATTCAGAAGCAAAATGATTTGTAGAAAAAGTTGCGCTATACATTGAATAGCTTCGGACGAACAAGGTATCTACTGTCCCTCGTTTAATCACTCCAGTGCCCGAAGATGCGAAGGTTTGCACCCCGTGAGTGAACTTGTCAAGTCACCCGTGATGTGAGCCTCGCAAGCCTCCTTGGTGAAGTTGCTCCCCTTCAGGGAGAGGGAGGGCTCTGCCTGATCGTCTTGTGCCACCCTGAAGCAGAGTAGAAAGCATCCCTTGGCCACGCACACCAAGTAGGTATTGTCCGAACAAGCCTGTGGACAGGAGAAGTGAGGGACATTGCATTAGCCGTCTACGACAATGTAGAAGTGTAGTACTTCATTCCATGTACAGCTGTCACTCAAATTATTTCTTGCATTCATGCTTCAAGAAAGCTAAATATGTCGCACGCATGCTACCTTGAAACGGCGACTGGTGTCCGCTGTAGGTGAGAAATTTAGCCATTGTGCAACACGCAGTAGTGATTGTGCAATTGTGCACTGGTGCAGTGCCCATCTGGGTAGAAACTGGCAGGGGCGGGGGTCAAACCCACCCTAGGTCCTGTAGAGCCGGCTCTTGCACCATAAGTTCCAAGCAGCAGAGTGTCAACAAACAGCTACTGATTTTGAATAGTGAGGAACAATACATAAGCGATATGTCTAGTGTCTAGGGCTCCTGGCTCCCAGAGCCACCATCAAATAAATAATTTTAGATTAGCAAAAAAAAAGAAAAAAAAAAGGTTTTACTTAATTTTAACTGATTAATCTGCCGGAGCTTACAGATATCTGTTTCCGTGACATAGAAACTCGTAACTCATTACCACTTTTTTTTTTTTTTTTTTTATGTCCGCGATTTGTGCACACAACTTCGGTTACGTTATACATGAATTTGCAGTGGGTTACCGTGTTTTTCACACCTTGAAATGCAAATCTGCAGCGTTCGCAATCTGAAGTATCTGTTCCCATGACATGCGAGTTTGTAGTGGGTTCCCAAGCTTTCGTCCACGATCTAAGCGCGATATCGGTTCCCGCAACACCCAAATTTGTTGCGGTTTCTGGCATGTTTATCGCACACTGTGAAGCGCGAACATGCTGCATCCACAAAAATCCCGCATACTAATCGCACTTGAACGCAATGCCGTGTCCATGATCTGTCGTATCAGTTCCCATTTCACATATTATGTAGTGGCCACCCCCCCCTCCCCCCGCACTTATCATCAATTTTTTCATTAAATTTTCTGCCATATCCCCAAACATTGCTTACCCCCTGATTGGGTTTTTTTTTCGGAACTTCACGGTAAACTTTGTGACTATCACACTTAGTAGTATAAAAAAATCACCCAAAAATCAAAATCAACACTTCATAGGTCTCAGAGCCAGGAAGCCAACATTCTAAACGTCAACAAGGACAGGAAAAAAAAAAAGACTACCAGTATTCGCGACTCCAGCAAAACGGACGCCACCAAGCGGGAAAACCGGGAACCAGCCGGTCCAGGTCGCTCCGCGCCCCTCCGCGTCTCGGTGGCTTTCGCGGACACGTGTTGTCGGCGCGATGGCGAACCGTGTAATTTCACGAAGGTCCGAAAAATTCTTAAGTTTGCCTGAGTGTTCAATAGTGTGGCGAAGCCTCAGTAGATTGTTTCCTTCCATCACGTGTTTTTGATTTCTTGGATGGGGAGGATTCGCGAAAAAACGTTTTGATTTCTTGGATGGGGAGGATTCGCGAAAAAACGTTTTAATTTCTTGTCTGTCTCAAATCGCATTCAAAGTGACGACTACTTGGTAACTGATAAGGGTTTTCTTTATAAGGATGTAGAACAGTGGGAGGACGACAGACGAGGCATTTTACTGGAGGGAACACCGATGCTGCAGTCAAGTGAATGGGAAAGTATGATAGCTGCTTTTCTTGAGTTTGGTTGTGTTCGATTAACTTCAAGTTTGAGCCACCTACGCCGGTCGGTGCGTTGGCTATTCATCTTGGCTGCTTTTCGCCGAAAAATCCTCTGAACCACTCTGAAGCAGTTGGGCTGATTTCGCAATTACTTGATTCAGGAAAACCTGCTCGCTGCAAATGATGAATGAGGGAAATTATCTGTTTTCAAAAGGTGGGGGACGTGTCTCGCAACGTTAGAAGCTGTCACGGCATTATGATCTATCGCGCCTCCAATATTTATATTATACCCCCGTCGAATTAAGCCAGCAGCAATATACGTCTACATTGCTCAGGTTGACTGACCACAAAAATACTTATTTTTCTGTTCAGGATTCGAAGTCAAGTTCAGTGCCAGAGAGGTTCTGCGTGAATCTCCAATGAAGACTCTCCTCAGTCTGTTCGCATTCGTCTCCGTGCTACGGGCTAGAACCATTTGGTTAAGTTTAACTTAGTATCTCTTTGTCTGTCAAATATATTTCTATTCAGCAGTTCACCTAATTGCTAGTTAACTAAGCTCATATTTCAAACCGAAGAATATACTAATATCGCTTTAGTGGGACATAGTACGTAATATAAAGCATAACCCGCTCGTCAAAATGACTTCTCGATTGCTACTAAAACCTGAATTGAAATACGAGTATCAGCTGCTTTGTGGGGTGCCGGCGGGTTAACATGCTCCTTGGCTCAAGAATCGCTTGCTTAATTTTCGTAATTTTCCTGCAGCTGGTGTTGTTGGCCGAGCATACGACTGAAGCTGTTTCTTAAACGCGGATACGCACAAAAGCTCGATTTCGCGGACAGATAAGTCGCATGGTCGAGGCATGCGAGTTGGCTGAAAATTACTGTCGGTGGGAGAACTCTGCATTCATTGCCGCTTTCCTTAGATGATCAAAACTGATTAGTATATTACCGTCTCTCCAGAGCCCATAGTTTCGGTTTCAAACGAAATCTCCGAAGCGAAAGTTTGACATGAAAAGAACAAAAACACAATTGGAAAACGAAACTATGCTCTGCAAGTTTATGTGCACCGGCTACACTTAACCGCCTCAGTTCAAATACCTATAAAATTGGCATTAAATAAAAGAAAATCTGTTAAATTGAACGCGCCACCTGTTCAAGCGGCCCGGTCGAGCCAACGCGACCTGGACTCAGCCGCCATGTTTGTTTGGTGGTGGCGCCCCCTATAGGTCGCTGGAGTCGCGAATAGGTGAAATGAGCGACAGCAGACATTCTTCAAAACAATATGTTCTGTCCCATCGGTTGCCTCGCATACCTGTTGTACCTTATCCCTTGTACTGCAAAAGATGAGACGAAAAGTGAGAGACGTGAGGGACAGCAGTTTGCCTACCTTGCACAAGGCGTGCTGTGCTGGAATCAGGTCATCCTCCCACAAATTGAGCCAGGCACCGACAACCAATTCGTCACTGCCACAAAGTTTCAGCGGCAACAAATTAATCGTTCCGTCATTCGATCCCAGAACAAGGAACCCTGCAACACAATCGAGAAAGTAGAGCAAGGCTACCGGGACTTTTCAAAGACACCATCGGATACGGTCCGTTTTCGCATACATGCAAAGTGACCGCACGTGTAAACGTGAAGTCATAGGGGCATCAACATAAAAGACTATATTAATTCATTTATCATTCTGGTGCACACGTAAGAACTTTGGGGCGCATGTCTAAGGTAACGCTATCCATCTTTTGTTGTTTTCTTAACGTAAGAGCGAATAGGGGGCTTAAAGAGATACTACAATAAAATTTCGGAGCTTATTTTTTGGTCTATGCGTGTTCAAAGAAGCAGCATCCCATCGGACACACCAATATCTCGCTAAAAAAGACACCAAAAGTAATTTTAAAACACATTAAACGATTTGCAAAGAGCACCTTGGTGGATAATGGTAAAGCCTTGTTTGTAATGCCCGTCTAGGAACCTTGACAGGTAGTGACCATAACTGCTTCGTTTAGAACTACGTGCTTTGAACCTGACTTCAACCCGACAGCACAGGAGAAGAGAGAGGGAGGAAACTCCCTTTTGTGTGTCCCAGCCGTCGCTCTTCTCCCTCTACAAGATTATAGAAGATTAACCCGTCACTCAAAATTTAGACAAAGCAGCTTTGCGGCTAGTTGCGGTGGCCCGATTGTTGCCGTGCTTCGACCGCTTCGGTGGCTGGAATGGCTAGGGCATCCCGACAACGTCAGCCTTGCTGCACCTTTGCTCATCCCGAGACAGACTACATCAGGATTGCACCGGATGTGACGTGCTCTCCGCTGGCAGCTCTCCGAGCGCTTGCCAGGGTGGGCCATTTATAAGGAAAAAAAACAGCCATCAGGCTAAAAATACAAACGTGAAATTGTCATTTACGGATATTGTGGATCATATTCAGCCTATTTCTGAACACGACAAGCATATTTCAAATTTCGTTGAAGTATCCCTTTAATAAGTCTCTAGTTTAGCCTTCAGTCACCACCCCCTTATAAGTATCGAGGGAAAACAAATAGATAAATTACTGAACGAAAAAATAAATAACAACAAATATTTTTAGGTACTTTGCTTACCGTCACTAACATGACAGTGAGTAGGGATGTCGCGAACCACCCTAGGTTCGATTTCGAAAGGTTTCGATATTTGCAAAGCGAACTGAGGTTCGATTTCGAAAAATTTCGATATTTTCGTACCCACCGAGGTTCGATTTCGAAAAATTCGCAACTTTTAACCACAGCGGAGTTTCGAATTCGAAAATTTCGAAGCTTTCACGGTTTCTAAAATTTCGAATTCGAATATTTCAAATATTTTTTTACTTCAGGTTCGATAAATTCGAAGATTTCGAAATTCTTTGTAAAAAAAATTCGAAAACTTCGAACGCTTCGAATTTTTATAGACATGAAGTTCGAACAAATCGAAGATTTCGAATTTCTTTTTGCATGAAGTTCGAAAAGTTCGAAGATTTCGATTCTCTTTTAACGCTAAATTAAAAAAAAAAAAAAAAAAGAAAAACTTTGAAGATTTTGAATTTCTTTCTAATCCAAGTTTTCAAAGTTCGAAGTCCGATTTTCAAGTTTTTCCACGGTTTCAGTTTCAAATAACGTTTTCACGACTCACTGGTTTTCACAAAATCAAGTTTAGAAAAGTTAGGGTGTGATACATGGTGTGATATCTAGATTCTGCGAAGAATATTTGCCAGTGCAGAATTGTCATCGCCAGCCCCGGGGGGGGGGAGGGGGGGGGGGGGGTCTTTAACCTGCGTCACGCAGTAGTGATTGCACGAACACACTGTTTTACGAGACTCATCCAGTTCGAAACGGCCAGGGGCGAGCAGGAGGTTGAGGCTCAGAAAAACCTTGAAGCGACATGGCAAACTAGCTCGCCACCCCTTGCACGCTGGTAGTAATCCTATCCGGTGAAGTTTATAATTGTCCTGGAGGTTTATTTTCTTGGGACGGAGGAATCGCCTCGCAAAAAGCACAAAAGCCGACAAAAGTCGAGGAGCGTTCTACCATACAAGTGGCGTCGGAAGAGGAAAAACGGGGAGAAAGAGGTTAGGGGTGGGGGTGGGGGGGGGGGGGGGGGGGGGGGGGCTGGGCTTCAGCCTTTTTCTTTCCCTTGCAGGTATTTCGGACTGTTAAAGAAAACAATACGGGGAAAGAGGGCGTGGTCAAGCTTATTTTAATCTGAAATTATTTATGCATATGTATAGCTACTGTCGCTCTTCACTGCATAAAAGGTTGCGTAGATGGTCATGGTTAGAAACTCGTTGTCAGAAGGCACTGCTCGTCACATGCTTAGTGGTTCGGAAGTTCAAATCTGTCTTTTCGACATAAACACTTGTGCCGATAGTAAAAAAAAAAAAAAAAAAAAAAAGAATAGATGCGGGAATAAAAAGCAGGAGAAAAAAAAAAAAAAAAAACTATCAAGAATTTGTTGGAAGTGTTCTATTCTTGCATATTCAGAGGTTCAGAACTTTGAAACAAGTTTCTTTTACCAAAATGTGTACAGGCTAAAAGAAACACGTCCCAGGAACGTGAAGCGAAAAGAAAAAAAAGTTTTCTTTTAATGACGTGCTGAACTTGAACACTACTAGAAATCTTCTCCCATGAGTTAATTTATTCCTTAACGTGAAAAAACAATAAATATATTATTTTGTATTCTGCAGATGGCAATGATATGTACTGCCTGTGGTGTTAATTTAAATGCGATAACTCAAACAACTTAGACGAAAATAAATGTCAAGTTTAGGTCATAATTGCGTGCAGATACATGTTTGGACATTTCTTCGAAACTCACGTTGAATAACAATAATCACATCTTAAGACGGCACTTACCTAGGCTATACATAGATCATTCTTAAAAAAGTATAACATATCTGCTATAAATAGCTCCGGCTGCAGCGTGCTTCAAATCTGGCACAAACGACAATCGTCAAAAACCCGTCGTCCTTCCTCGCCCCTTCGGGGATTTATTTCTTTAAACCTAAGCATGCCAGAACTTTGAAATAAACGACATTGTCTTTCGTAAGGAACGCAGCACCGCGTGTAAAAGTTCGAGAAAAAAAAATTACGAATGTACCCCACTACTTGAAATCAAATGAAACCGTCCGCCGGTCTTTCGAAGTTCGACGAACGTCGAACTTTTAGGGTAAAAGTTCGACGTTCGTCGAACTTCTGACTTTTCAGAATTCGAAAGTTCGAAACTTTTCGAATTCTCTTGATAAATAAGTTCGAAAGTTCGAAATTCCTCGAATTTTTTGGTCAGTCAAGTTCGAAAGTTCGACAAGCATCGAACCTTGCAGCGCAGTAAGTTCGAAAGTTCGAAAAAGATCGAATTTTTTAGCGTAATAAGTTCGACGGTTCGAAAAGTTCGACGGTTCGACCTCTGTCGAATTTTACGATATAGACAATTCGAAAAATCGAAATCTTTCGAACCTTTCGAACCGCTCGATTCGATCATCGAAACTTCGATTCGAAAAAAGTTCGCGGCATCCCTAACAGTGAGCAAAGCACAGAAGCATTTATGTGGTGCTTATGTGTTACCCGAGTCTGCAGATGTCTTCTGCCAACAAAGCCTGGCTGCTCGTGTCAGTTTGGTCTGCTCCTCCCTCAAGAGCTTCAGATCAAAGCTGGGAAAAACAAAGTTGCACATCATAAACAACTGTCTCGGACTTCTTTTGCAAATGCCTGGCTCTAGATCAATAGAAGAACAAGACGTGATCGGGAAGTTCCGAACGTACACTAGCACTTAGTGAACATGACAGCACTTCATGTGTGCAGCATATGCACTGACCCTAATCCTCATGGACCTGTGAATGGGCGAAATACTGGAAATACTGTCAGTAGTGAGTGCAGGCAGCTGAAATAACCTGTAACTATGTAAATATGTACATATCATGAAAATATTCGCTGTTTCGAGATCCAGCCTCTAAGACAATGATGGCATATAAAAAATAGAATAAAGTATAAAAACCTTTTAGCCTTTCCGCTCTGGTGAAGAAGGAAGACCAGCGAAGCTGTACTAAGATGGGACGACCTTAAGGACGACTTCTTGCACGACCTCAAGGACGACGCCTAGAGGTTGACGTCTAGAACGACCTCAAAGACGACGTTTACGACGACGTCTAGAACGACCTCAAGGACGACGTTTAGGACGACCTTAAGGACGACTTCTAGGACAACCTCGAGGACGACCTCAGGGACAACGTCTAGAATGACTTCTAGGACGACCTCGAGGACAACGTCTAGGATGACCTCAAGGACGACTTCTAGGACGACCTCAAGGATGACTTCTAGGACGACCTCGAAGACAACTTCAAGGACCACCTAAAGGACAACGTCTAGGACGACCTCAGGGATGACGTCTAGGACGACTTCTAGGACGACCTCAAGGACAACGTCTAAGACGACCTCAAGGACGACTTCTAGGACGACCTCAAGGACGACGTCTAGGACAACCTCAAGGACGACGTCTAGGACAACCTCAAGGACGACTTCTAAGACGACATCTAGGACGAAGCCCAAAAAAATTCAGCCTTTCCACTCTGGTCAAAACCAAAGTGGAAAGGCTGGAAAGGTTGCCGCCATCTATGAGCGAGGCCGGCAAGCCGGTTGTCTGGTTGCCGCTGTCACTCATAGATGGCAGTAGCTGTCCAGAGTCTTGTGTCAACATTTCTTTGCGGGGGACACGATCCTGGGGAAACTAGCCCTTAACAGCTTTGCCAGGCTCACGCAGCCAGCGGCGTTCAAGGAAACCTCGGTAGAGGCCGCCAAGAGTCAGGATGACGTCACAATGACGTCAAATATGTTGATCACCCTCTCCGGCAACTAGGACGGGTACAGCCGTTAATATCCATGTTTCCTCGGGGCGCTCTTTCTGCGCTTAAGTGTAGGGTTCTTGTTTCCACCGCCTCAAAATATGGCGTTACGATCGACATTGCTGCCGGGCCGGTGGCCATGGCAACGGCAGCAACGGTGCAACGGTCGCCGACAGCTGATAAGCGTGATCGTCAGCTCCGAGTGTTTTGCGGAAAACGTGGTGTTCGCTCGGTCCGCGCTAATTTGACTTCGAAAGTTCTGGTGCTCTCGGAAGAGGATACCTTGGTGCTACTCTGCTGCAAAATGGTAATGGCGGGAACTCTAGCAAGTAGAAAGTCCTGTCGTTCCTTCTATTCCGAAAGGTGTTCCGAAGCGAGAGGTAAAGTTTTGTTTTTCGTCGCTTTCGTTTCAAGCTCGTTCTATGTGATGCGATCCTGGTTGCGATTTTCAGTCTCGTGCGGCAGAAACCCCGTGAACACAGCACTTCGCACACATTTGTTTTAGTTTTTTCTTACGTATGAGCGATGTTTGAAATTTGCAGGCAGATCGAACCGTACCATGTGGTAAGCGCACAGGACGACACGGTCATTTTTGGTGCTCTCTTTTTGCTCACAGACCCTTGCCTTACTTTTGTGGGCAAGCTTGAGTGCTTTCTGGCGTGCATTCTCAATCTGGTATACAAGGATGATGTGATGAAGAATCTTAGTGCTTTCATGACAAAACAGTGGGAGACCTTCTCTGTCCAGCAATCGGCTAGGAGTTCCTCCAGATGTTCTGCTATGAACCCTGGTGAATTTACGCCTTTTAAAAGAAGAGATCTGCAAAAACCTCATTTGAAAAGGCCTGCAGCTGATAGGAAAGCACAGAAACCGTAAAACAAGTCATCTGCCAGCTAAGTAACAAAAAAAATCATATTTTTTGGCTACGAAACATTGAAGTTTTAGCTGATCAAAACTGTGGTGGTGCAATGTCTTTTATAAATGTATATTTCTTTCATTGTGCTCTTCCTTGCTTCTCGTGCTATCTGTTCTATTGCTCCGTAAATCTTGTTATCTGTATTTATCTTCCATTTTATGTATGAGATCTGTGTAAATAATAAAGAGTGTATGAAAAGTAAATGTGTGCTCCTTGCCTCCTACCCACTTGAGGAGCAGCTTCTCTGAAGTTGCGCTACAGTGGTTTACGAAAAAAGATATAAAATAAAAGCCCCAAAATACGAGAATGAAATCGACAAGAAATGAAATCAGGAAAGCAAACCGGGGGCGGGGTGGGGGAGCAGCGAGCAGGGGCGAACCGGCCGCCTGGGACGCGACGGGACAACTTGCGCCATCTAGGGGCAAGTAGAGGCGGCGATTGCAACGCCATGTTTTGAGGCGGCGGAAACAACCGTACGCTTGAGCGCAGAAAGAGCGCCCCGAAGGAACATGGATGTTAACGGCTCTACCCGTCCTAGCTGCTGGAGGGGGTGATCAACATATTTGACGTCGCCATAACGTCATTTTAGTTTTCTCTTTTTTTTCGCTCGTCGGTCGCTCTTTTCTCGCTTCTTCGCTTGCTCGAGCGCCCGGAGCGCATTACAATAGCCAAGGCTACGGCTGCGCCGGCCTGGCTCCGCTGTAAAAATGCCCAAGGTATTTTTTCAGTTCGCACCCACTGGAGCAGGAGGGAATGATTGTGGTGCTAACTGGGAAGTCTGGATTTCAAATATGAAAGGCAATAAAAGTAGTGGCTAGTTTGTTCTTATGGTAACGATAATTACAAATCTTCTTTCAACGTAGCACCACTAATTTGTAAATTAATCCCCAAGTTTCCCTGCCTGACGCAAAAAAGCCAGTCATTCCCTGAATGATATTCTTCGAATGCCTCATTCCCGCTTGTGCCCATTTACCACAAGGATACGGGCAAGAGTATGTACACTCTACGCTAAAATCGTCATGCTGAAAAACACGTTTAAGCATACTGAGATTGCGCTTGTGCCTTCTCCTTCTGTAACTACCAGTCCAGGGCATTAAACTCAACTCCACTAGCTTGCCTCTGTCACTTCCTTAGCTCCTGGTTAGGACTGTGGCTTCCTTGGATCAATTTTAATATATAGTTTAATTCATTATTATTATTATCATTATCACTGAGAAAGATGACCGAGTCAACGAGGGTGATTACTGACCTCCCTTTCCGGCCGACCCGCTGCACCTTCCAGAAGAGGAGGAGGCCAGAGCGCGTGGCTTCCACCAGGAGCGCAAACGGCCTCTCGTGAGGAGGCTCAAACAGATGGGACCAGCTCATTTCTGAGAGCGCGGAAAGATGAGACCACAGTCAATGTACGCTTTAAAGGCATACCCATTTTTGCATTTGCACTCTGCTCGCTCGTGCTAGGAGTCTTTACGAAAAAAACCTAGAGAATCTCAAACTAAAAGCAGAGACTTCTCCAAGGCCCAAGCAACAAACTAGTAGCAGATCTGTAGGGAAAAAGGAAGTCAAAGCTAGCTGGAACAACCCTTATGGTTCGGTGACGCTTAAAAGGCCTACCTATATTCAAAAACTTCCAAAAACAGCTTGAATTACAATTTTTTACAAAGTTAGAAATTGATTGCTTTTGCACTTCAATAACAGTATTGCTGTTGGCAAGGAACACCACTACACATATGCCAAATTCAGTGTCATAGTCACCCAACACAAGCAAATCTCTCTCTACTAATTGACCAATGTCTGAACCGTCAGCTCGCACTCAACTTTGGACCTCCATCTTCATTTACAAGTCCCTCCATTCGTTATCATTCTTCTCGCGTTTTACACTGCGTGGATCAAGTGCCTTTAAAAGCGAGGCATAGCTTAGTGAATGCGCAACGGGCAACGAGAGACCAGCACCCACCCAGAGCAGCCAAGGAGTGGGACCGCTCCCTGAGCAGCTCGAACTGCTCGAGTGCCATGGTCGTGCCCGCCCTCACAGTGCCCCTGACTGAGGCCCAGTCCTGGCTTTTCCAGCGAGCCTTGGCCACGGCAAAGTATGTTGCAGACGGCTCGGCCACGCACAGCCACTGGCCAAACGCGTTCTCGCGCCACAGCTGCAGCCGATGATCAAGCGTCAGTGTGGCCAGCAGACATCTGCATGGGAGAGCATGACTTGGCATGGCCGACCTTCGGACGCTGCCACCAGATGTTGCTAGACCATCTCGGAAAACATTGAGAGTTTAAACAAGAAATTGGAAAAGTCAGGGAAATGTGTATCGTGTTGCACTGCATGCTGCTGGACCGTGCCCCCGACGCAGGCCACTGGTACACTGTCAGGAGACGTTGTTTCACATTTTGCACTACATTTAGACCTTACAAAGAGAGTTCCTTCTCGCCTCGGAAAAAAATAAAAGAAAGGATTGATTAAATGAGATCAATTGACGAGTAAGTCTGCTGCACTTAAAAATTAATGGGACGAACCAAGAAGAAGAAGATGGACGTGGGACGAGTATTGACTATCGACTAATACTCTGAAAGAACCGTGGACAGCCACACCCCTTTTTCATGGTTGTCCTCGGCACAGGAGCCAGTGGTTTTCCTGCGACGGCTTTTTACTTATGCTTGCTTTCTAACGCTTATATATTTTTTTTCTTGGAGAATAAAAGGCTTGGAAGGCAGAAGCAGACAATTTGAGAAGTTGAAAAGCATCACAGACCTCTTTATGGTCGTGCATAGCTTTAATCGCATGGTGCGGATAAATCATGCTATTGAGCTTTCAATTCAATAGGGAGAGAGAGTGGAGAGTGAATGCTTGCCTGTTCCTGCCTTCCAGGTGAAGAGGGGACCAGAGTGCCCTGTGGTATGTCCTGTGGAGATCCGAGTTGCTGGTACCGGGGCACATGGTGGTATCCAGCTTCAGGCAGTGCTGCTGGTCTACAGAACAAAAGAGGCAAGGTACCGATCCAAGATGCACAGGATTGGCCTTCCAATACATGCCGCCACCACCGGGCTGCGACAAGCACAAGATAAATCATGTAATTTAGCAGCTGCATGGGCGGAGCCATGGCATACTTTGCAGATGCCAGTGCATGGTGCACCTCCTCATATCAAAATATTTCACGGGACATTTGTGCAAACATAGAAAGTTTCACATGACAAATTTTGAAACAAGCTCGAAAGCATTCAATGGGGCGTGGAATGCAAACAGCAAATTAAGAATAAAATCTTGTTCATTTTACCAAGTGATCAAACAAGCATACAAAAAGAACAGAACACACCAGTCTCCTGATCAGCTGCAAAGCTTCTTGTCCACTATCACAATGATATAGTGTTCCTCTGTAAAAATGTGGCTATACAAGTGGCACTCTTGAGAAGCTAAGGCCACTTCTCACATATGCCTAAACTGACACATTTGCTATTTTTTATCTGGTTACATTATTATCTATTGCAGACAGCTTTTAAATCCTACCTAAAATCTCTAACACCTGCACCTTGTGCTTCAAAAGAATCATCTCCACAAGGTTTAGTGGGACGATCTATTACTTATTCGACGAACATGGCTCACCAGTATCCAGGAAACTAATCATGCTGTCATGTTTGATTGTGGTGAGGTCCAGAGGCTTCACAGGGTTGTCGATGCACATCTTCTCCAGGTGCAGAGGGTACCCGCTTTCGCTCGGTGAACACGGGGAGCTCTGACAGAAAACAGCAAAGATCGACAGGCGTTCAACAGGTAGAACATAGGGTATCACCAACATCTTACGGCAGAAAACAACACACTCAAAGTAGACCAATTGTAAAATCATGGTTCGTACAAACTGAAAAAGAAAAAAAAAAAAAAGATCGAGGGTTTTTAAGGATTTTTAAAGGCCTGTAAAGGATTTTCAAGGACCCCTTCAAATACTCTATCTAGTATGTTTATAATATAACAACTTTTTTTAAGTGCACTGCGAAAATTCTGTACCTCTTGATACCTAGGAAGAGGCGCATTTGCCAAAGAGGTGCTAGTAAAGGATTCAGTAGAGCTGCTGCAGCTTTTCCTTGATTTCCTTGTTGATTTTTAGAAGTGCTTGCATTTTCGTTTTTGCCGTTTCCCTTAGGCAGTTTGACTTGACAATGTAGGTGATGCCAACTGTCGCCTCTGCTTTCTCAAAGTCTGTAGTTGCACATCCCAGGCATCGCGCACAACTTAAACTACGTCCACCATGTGTAGCATAAAACAGACACGGTACAAGCAAACCAGGAGTATCTAGCAAGCTGTACGCGAGAGAACAAGGCAAACGATGGGCACGATCGCAAGGTGGCAAACGGGCGAGACCGGATCTGGAACCACTGGGACTGCTACAACGTTGGCCAGGTGCTTACAGGCTGACGTACAACCTCGTTTTTCTGCAGGGAAGATAATCTCCTTAGCACTCCCCTCTCCTAGGCTGCAAGGGGAGCCAAGTTGGAACAAGGTAAAAATCGGAAAGGATATAGGAAAGGAGGAGGCAGGCAAAAGTGGAAAGCGCAAAGTGTATGTTGGCCTTTAACGGGCATCCGCTAAATGCGTCTAAATGTGCCATATAAAAAAACTTCCTCATTGAAAGTTTGAAATTTATGTTAACATACACGTGGAAAAAATATTTACGTTCTATTATTGTACAAAAATTTTATTATTGCACAAAAAAAAGAAACTGACTATCACTGGGAAATTCAAGGGTTTCCAGGCACCACTAGAGATTCCAGGGCTTTCAAGATCTAGAAGATGCAGTTTTTGAATCCAAGGTTTTTCAAGGTTTTCAAGGACACATGAGCACCCCGTGTACATGTTTATGAAGCGAGAAAAGTACACTTAAGGTATGTTTCTTGTATATTGCAGCAGGCCTTCAATATCTGGGGTCGGCAGTTGTCGTTAACCTACATTGGGTGCCAATATGGAGCCCCAAATGACAACTGCCGACTTCGATGGTGCCAAGGTCCTAACTAACCTCCTCGTGCACTGCCTCTCGCATGCCTTCAAACCCATCTTTACTCTCTTTCGTGGTTCCCCACTACAACCTTTACTTTTAGTGTACATATACACGCCTTGCACTTGATGTCGTCCCGACAGCTGTCTGGCCACCACCAGATAAGAGGGGAAGGGGGAACTCCCCTATCACCGGGACTCTCTTTTGTGTGTCCCAGATTTGCCCAAGCGTCGCTTTTCTCCCTTTAGAAGATTATAGAAGATTAGCCCCATAATCAAAATTCATACAGAAGCAGCTTTCCCCTCTCTCTATCTCTTTTGTGGTGGTGCGAAATGGATGATGTGACGTCAGTGCAAAGTATGTATAGATTAGAGGGGTACGGAAACGAAAATTTAAATATACAAATTTCGTTCGGAAATGAGTCAAGCATGACGGATAATAACCGTAAATGATAATCGCATGTTTGTATTTTGAACGACTGGCTATATATTTTGTTCCAAACGGTGCACTTGAGCAAGCGCGAACGGAGAGCACGATGCATCATGAGATATCGGGCGCAAACAAAAACAAAAAGATTTCCCGCATTCATGACGTAGCAAGGCTAGCATGGTTATGAGCTTTGCCGCTGGTGGCGTTGTGGTGGCGTCAACGCGTTACAACCGAGCCGTCCGAAGTACCCGTGGGGTGACGAGTGTTTCACGTACGAGACCAGTCGTGCGCGTCGTGTTCATGCGGCTCATTCCCCCTTAGAAGATTAGCCTGTAGCTCAGAACTCAAACAAAAATTGCTTCCCCCCCCCCCGTTCACCCCTAAGCTGATAGTGCTGTGGAAGCTACATGCTCATTGGGCCCGCCATACTTTTGCCATGTGATTACGCTCCCTCGCGCATACCAACACGCTTCAGGACGATTTCCTTGGGAACATAAACTTGAGCGACACAAGTGAGGATGAGGACGCCGATACCACACCTTCTGTATTCAATTCGGAAAGGGTATTTAAAAGTACACTCAACTTAAAGGGGCCATGAAACGAATTTTGGGTTGAGATAAATGAATTTAGATTGGGATTTTACTAACAGCATATCGTTAAGTAGGCAAAAAAAAAAAAAAAGTAGAAAGTCAAAAGCCTGATTTTCTATACGAAAATTTGAAAACACAGCAGACTATTTCATACCTCCTTCCCTTTGAAAGCACTCTGCCTTTTTACTGAGATACATCCGTGGTACCCAAAACGCATCAAGCGGTCCAAACACGCATCACAAGACACCCAGACCTCACTTATTCCCTTTACCCCTAAGCTGATAGTGCGGTGGAAGCTATATGCTTGCTGGACCAATCAGCTGCCTCCCTTTTATCACCTGACCTCATTCTGTGCGCAAGGGGTATGTGCGAGGGAGCGTGATCAGGTGGCAAATGTGTGGCGGGCCCAACGAGCACGCAGCTTACACAGCACTGCCAGCTTAGGGGTGAACGGGGTGGGGAAAGCAACTTTTGTCCGAGTTTTGACCGACGGGCTAATCTTCTAGAGGGAGAATGGCAGTGTCCAGGTACACAAGCGAGGGTCCGAGCAAGAGGGGAGTCCCTCCTTTCCGTCTTCTTGAACTGTTTGGTACAATGTGCGATTTGTGAGTTGAGGAGGAAAGCTAAAAAGGAAAAAGGAAAAAAATTGTTTCATGACCGCTTTGAACAGTTGAGCATACTTCCAAAGAGCGGCACTGCTTTGATGTTTAGTGCGGCTACATAACGGTTCTTGCTACGTCATGGCCTACGTAGCAAGATCCACAACGTTGCTAGATCACATCCCAACCAAGCTTCACAGGCATCCACCAGGTGCACATTGGAAGATCCTTTAATTAGCATTAAATTTAATTTTTGTGCCTTTCAATGAAAAACGGGTGTTTTTGAGGTTATGTTGCAACATGCAACACATTTCAGCTAGAAAATGAGCGCTGGAAGTTCATTTCCGTACCCCTTAAAGGGGCCCTGCAAGGACGTTTTTACTGGTTTTTAATTTGCACCGAACCTGAGCGCATGGAACGTAGCAACTTAATTAAACTTTTTGTTTCTCGAATTTCGCTTTATTTTAAAAGTTATAGGCAAATTAAAATTACAATAACAAGCAAAATATAACCTCCTTCATGATGTCCTTGGTTGCTTGGGTGGCCGTGAACTAGAGGAGGGGTAGTGAGCTCAGCGAGCAGTCGCAGCGGCCGCACTCCGTGTAGACGGCTCGAGAGGGCACCACTAAAGCATGTTCTGACTAGGCTGTATAAAGCAAGCAGCCAGGGCGGCTCGCATTGCATTTGCTGCCCAATTAAACACTAATTCGGCATGACACTTCATTGGCCACAAACGACAGCAAAGACGCGGTAAAGATCAGTTCAGAACGGGAGCCATTTCGCGCTGCCATACCGCCAAAAGGCCAACCGCAAGCCAAAGCTGCTCGCCGAAGGCCTTGGGAACGCTCGGAACTGGTCGGATCTTCCAGTCCATACGACCGCAGCGCCGCCGCGTACATCCGGGACCTTTATACGCTCGCCGTTTGTTGGTGCCTGATCCCACTACCCCTTTGTAGTACGCGTCGCCTTTTCCACCGCTTGGTGGCGGGTATGTCGACGGGTCATTTCTTGTTTTCGCACTTTCTAAACTGCATTTGTTTCATTCCTGATCTAAAATAGTGAACAAAAACTACTTTTATAAATAATTGAAACGGTTCGTGCCGCTTATATCTAGTATTTCGACTAAAAAGAAGCATTTAGCGGCTCTGACCAGTAGTAAGCCCAGGACCAAAGACGTCACATTTTGAGCGCTTTCGGTACCGCAAGTCGTCCCCGTGGGTGGAGGAGGTTTCCGCGTCGTCCGGTTAAAATATGACGCGTTGATATTTAGTTGCTCTCTCCGTGCCCGCTGGCTTGCCCGAACCTTAAAGAGGCCCTGCAATGACGTTTTTACTAATTTTTAATTTGCACCGAACCTGAGCGCACTGAACATAGTTAGTAAAACTTTTCTTTTCTTGAAATTCCCTTTATTTTAAAAGTTATAGGCAAATTAAAATTACAAAAACAAGCAAAAATTAACCTCCCTCATGACGTCCTTTGGTTGCTTCAGAATGGCCGTGAACTAGAGAGAAGTAGTGAGCTCATCGAGCGCTCACGGCTGCTGCACTCCATGTCGACGGCGCGAGAGGGTGCCATTAAAGCGTGTTCTGGATAGGCTGTATGCAGCGGGCAGCCAGAGCGGCTCCCATTGCATTTTCTGCGCGATTAAATACTCATTCGGCATGACACTTCATTGGCCACAAAAGACAGCAAACACAGGGTAAAGATCACTTTAGAATGAGAGCTGCTTTGCGCTGCCATACCGCGAAACGGCCAAACCGCAAGACAAAGCTTCTCGCCGAAGGCCTTCGGAACGCCCGGAGCCGGTCGGATCCTCCTGCCCATACGACCGCAGCGCCGCCGCGTACATCCGGGACCTTTTCGTGTCGGCGCCTGATCCCACTATTCCTTTCTAGTATGCGCCGTCTTTTCCACCGCTTGGTGGCGGGTATGTCGACGGGTCATTTCTTGTTTCCGTACTTTATGAACTGCATTCGTTTCTTTTTTGATCTAAAATACTGAACAGAAACTACTTTTATACATAATTGAAACGGTTCGCGCCACTTATATTTTGTATTTCGACTAAAAAGAAGCATTTAGCGGCTCTGACCAATGGTAAGCCCAGGACCAAAGACGTCACATTTTACGCATTTTCGGTACCGCGGGTCGCCCTCATCGGTGGAAGAGGTTTCCGCGTTGTCCGGTTAAATTATGACGCACTGATATTTAGTTACTCTCTCCGTGCCCGCTGGCTTGCCCGAACCCCAAGAGACGTGGAAACCGCGAAAAAAGTAGACGCTTAAATATGACTGCAGGGCCCCTTTAAGAGACGTGGAAACCGCAAGAAAGGTAGACGCTTCAATATGATTGCAGGGCCCCTTTAAGTGGAGCACTTAAGCTCGAACTTTTTGAGGACGGAAACCTAGCTTTGAAATTTCTCCGTGTAACAACGATCACTAACGTTGTTTCTTTCCTTTTCTCAAGGTGTTATTTTTATTGTAAAAAAACTTTTTTTTTTTTTTTTTTTTTTGATTTACAATTTACGGAAGGCAGAAAGCGTCTAACGTCGAGTTGTTCCCTCGTGCTGAAAACGTGACACCCAAGGAAGTTAATTAGGATCACCGAGGCTATACTGACCGATCTAAGGTTCTTCAAGTTCCACAATAAATACATGATTTCAAACATATTAAAGTTAAACTAATTATACTTTTTGCCGACCGCATTTCATGTTAGCAACCCGTCGACCTCGGCTCACCAAAATGCGGACGGCTTCGTTCGTGATCACCGAGATCCGGTTGTGCGGCGACCAGCTCACCGCAGCGTGAGCGTTCACTAATCCCGTGAAGTTGGTGACATACGCAGGGTCGTAGATATTCATTTTGCATGACCGAAAGTGTCTCACACGCACCCTACAAACCCTGCACGACCGCCACGCTTTACGGCCTCCAGCCTCCACAGATAAATTTGCCGCTTGTAGCGCAGATCCAGCCAACACTCTCGTCTCTTTTGACTCTGCCGTTTCGTACCTTGCCATTAACAATTTATTTCTTATACTTCAATAAAACACTTAATATTACTAAATCATATCATATTTTTTTATTTTGTCTTAGTAAATAAATGTATACACAAATAGGGTGCTATTTTATTGCGATGAAAGTGGACGACAACTAGCGAAGCCGGAGTGCCGTAACAGCCGTCGAAAAACTATGGCCGCGGCCTAATATTTTAGAGGTCCAATGCGCCGATAGTAGGCGACAAATTGTGATTATTTTGCGATGGACATGCCTCTGTGTCTTCGCCCGTGTGTGCAGTGACGATGGACTAAAATGGAGGAGGAACGCCAGAAGAAACTAAAGGCCGGACAAGAAATGGTGAGCCTTTTCATCTCCTTGCCCAACCGCATGAACGTTCGAAAAGAAAAAAAATAGTGAGAAAGATTTGTACCATTATTTTGTTGCGATCAGTAGTAGCTTGCGTCCCGACAGACTTAAGAACCACCTAACTTAATCGACACACCACCCTATAAAGATCGTCAACGTAGACGGGTCCCGAGAAGCGGCGAAATATTGCGCACAATCCGACGTGGCTCGACGTCGAAGTTGTAACGTCTTTGTCGTCGTGGTGGTGTACCAAGCGTAGATCTATTTTTAGCATCCGTTTCGGCCCCCCTAAGAAAAGACGCCGCGTCTGCGGTAAACCATTGACACCGCTCCTGTCAGCGTGGAAACGTACTCGCACCCACCGATCCGGCGGCAGACTTCCACGTCGCTCACTGATTACGAGCAGTGCCCCGACAGCGAGCTGTGATTTGGGAGAGCGCCGTGCAGCGTACGGAAGTCGCGATCGCTTCAACAGCAAGTACCCGGGCGTAGTGCGTCAGCTGTCAGCTCAAGCTGTGCACTGCTTGTGTTGCGCAGCTCGCAGCCGATGAAAAGTGGATCACGCTTTTTCCGCTATCCAGATCTGGCCGGTTCGCGCGCGCGTTCTATTCAAGGTTGTCATTTAGCTATGCGCCCTGAGCTGGTGTGCTGATTGTTTCTTGTCCGCCTACTTACTTCGGTATTCGCTGGTAACGCCTTACTTTTTCTTGAATACTAGTTCCTATGTCTATTTTTTTTTTTTTGTGCTGTTTCGTTTTGGAGTTGTTTTGTGCGAGGTGTGTTCAACGTGTTGTTGGGAACCCGAAAGTTCGTTGACATTTTACCGCTGTTTTTTTTTTTTTTATTTTTTTTATTACTTTTTGTTGATGGCCGGTATGGTCAAACACGCTGGAGGAAGGGGGGCTAAAATGGGAGAAATGCATCGAGCCAATGTGCTCACTACATCAGCAGGCGGTTTTATTATTATTATTATCTAGTCATGTGCGAGTAGTAGATTTTGAGTTCGAAGCGAATAGTGTTTTTGGTCGAATCTTTTCTGCTCGAATAGTTTCATCAAGCCTTTCACCACTGTGCACCCGCTTAAACAAAAATCATCTGAGCTCAAGATGGTTCTTCCTAACCTTCCCCTTGTCCGCTTCTAAGCTCAGGTAATTTTTTAATATAACTGTATTTATAAACATTTAAAACAAACATTTAATATAACTGCATGTAAACAACAGATTTGTCTCAGCTATCCTAATTGAGAAAATTTATAAATCTGCTTGCTGTAAAAAGAAAAAAGAATGATTTGTTGGATTTCTTTCATGCACGGTAACCTCAGATTGTCCGGTATTCAGAACTTATGATTTTTTGCCCATGTTTCCTGTTATCATAGACTGTGAAGGTATATCTGACATTATCGAAAACCTTAAAACCAATACGACAGCAGGCATTGATAATATTAATGCTAAGTTTTTGAAAAACACTAATATGTGCTCATGCATTATCTTATCTAAATCATTTTCACAATCACTTGAACGAGGAGAATTACCAAAAGATTGGAAGGTGGGGAAGGTGATCCCTCTCCAGAAAGGGGGCGATAAGCATAAAGGCCCGTTCACACTCTTGCGACCGAGTACGACTGAGAGAGACGAGATCTCTTAAAACTTCTTAAATGTTTTTAGAATGAGGGAACACACTGGGCATTGTGGCGCCATCTATGTGGTGACCCTGGAACTGCATTTCACAAGAGCGAAGGTTTTGCGGGATTTCCGAGGTCAAATGTGCGTAATACCCATAGAAAGACTCGTTTATAACATTGACAAAAGTTTTTAGAGCCAAGAAAGAAAGGATAATGCGCAAGAAATAAAAAAAAATATGCCGGACCGCCGAGTTTACACTGCTTCCCAATAGATGGCGCCAGTGTGTTCTCTGGTTTAAGAAGTTTTAAGGAACCTAGGTTTAAGAAGTCGCAAGAGTGTGAACGGGCCTTAACCCTTTAAACTTTCGTTCCATTTCTTTAACAAGCATTCTTTGTAAAATCCTTGAGCACTTCATTTATACTAACATTTTCAATTTTCTAGACTCAAACTCTTTTTTTAACTCAGCGCAACATGGATTTCGAAGGTTTTATTCATGTGAAACTCAACTCCTAACCTTTACTCATGACCTTCACGTAACACTTCACCGGGGTTTCAGGACTGACTGCATATTTCTTGATTTCACAAAAGCTTTCGACAAAATTTCTCACGCGCTGCTTCTTCATGAACTCCGTAAACTTAACATAGATCTTAATGTAATCGCTTGGATAGAATCGTTTCTATCAGACCGTTACCAATTTGTTTATGCTAACAGAACTAATTCTTCAACCTCACAGGTCAACTCCGGTGCCCCGCAAGGTTCCGTATTAGGTCCACTTTTATTTCTTATATATATATCAACGATATTCCCACGCATGTTTACTCATCTATTAGCCTATTTGCTGATGACTGTGTAATTTATAGAAATCATTAACGATTCTGACATATCTGCTCTTCAGACCGATATTAACAACGTCACCCGCTGGTGCGATAATTGGCTTATGGAACTTAACGGCTTATGGAACTTAACACCTTTAAATGTAGATCCATGAGAGTGTCCCATCAAAATAACACTTGTCGCTCCCACTGTGTTAATAACTCCACTTTGCTTTCTGTAAATATCTCGGTTTTCATATAACTAACAATCTCTCCTGGAACATCCATGTCGAATATATCACTAACAACGCTAATCGCTTATTAGGCTATCTCAGAAGAAACTTTTCCCTTGCCCCTGTTTCACTTAAACTTCTCCTATATAAAACTTTAGTGCACACCAAACTTGAATGTGCAGGCTCTATCTGGAACCCTGGCGTATCCCTAGCATCATCCATTGAATCCATTCAAAATCACTTTGCACGTTTTATACTTTCTAACTATCATCGTACAGCCAGTGTCACCTCCATGAAAGCGTCTCTATATTTGCCCAACCTCTCCTTTCGTAGAAAAATAGCTCGCCTCTGCTTATTTCACAAGATTTATCACTCTAACCCAGCACCTCGAACCTCATTTTTTCAGAACCATCATACATGTCGCCGCGCACCAATCATGCACTAAAAGTAGGAATCCCCTACTGCATCACCTTCACCTTTTATGCCTCCTTCCTACCCCTGACCTCCGTCGACTGGAATCGCCTTTTCGCATTCGTATTCTCACTTACTGACGCTGCTGATTTTAAAACCGCCATAACTGAAGTTCTTAATAATGTTCCATAGCGATTCTATTACCTTGTGTGTTTTTTTTTTTTTTTTTTGCGTTTTGTTTTCATTGTTTACTTTATATTTATGTAATTCCACTCCTCTCTGTAATGCCTTCGGGCCCTGAAAATATGATAAATAATAATAAAAAAAAAAGACAAGCACGAATTATAAGCGCCGGTCGTCAAGATATCGCTACCAAACACATACTTTTGCGTAATCGCGGCAGGTTAGCCCCGTTGAGTGCGCTTCTCACCGAACACGTGTGCACTGCGGTGAAGCAATATCCGCGGAGCCCGCAAGCTCCTTGGGTATTGCTTCCCCGCGGTGCCCTGGAGTTCGGGGACAAGCGCACTCAACGGGGCTAACCCGCCGCGAGCAACACTTTGAAAAGTACGAATATGGCAATTCATCTCTAAGCGAATATCGAATAGCTTATTATTCGAAACTACTATTCGAATTTCCGCACGACGCTAATATTATTGTTATTATTTAAATTATGAGGACTATATTTAGAGTCATTCAGTCAAGATTTCAAGCCCCAACACTCAGCAAGCAAGCTTGCACTTTTAGGAATTCTTGGGAGAGCTCACACCTATATACCGGTGCATTTTACGACAATCCATATATTTTTTTCAAGTCGGTGCAGCATATTTATACATTATGGTTGTGTGCAATAAGCTTCCATTATTACAGACTTCCTTTATCCAGCCACAGCTCGATAAATGGCATTCATGGATTCCCTTAATGGCATTGGTATTAATACCAAAAGTTAGCCCGTACACTGCAGGCTAACGGCAATAAAACTGCGCACAAAAACATGAAGACAAGTGAAAGCAGTCGCAGATAAGTGCTGGCTGAAGGGCGCAATTTATTCATATTGTTGGGTTCACCATGCTTGGGGCGCCATGATTTGTTTTCGTAGGTACTACATCGTGGCTGAAGCTAAAAAAGCCTTTGGTTAAATGATGTTCCTCCAGGAAGCGAGACGGAAAAGAGGGGAGGGGGGGGGGAGTCAACGAAATGCGGAATTGTTTGTTTTTTATTGCTATAGGCTTGCATTTTGTATAGCTAGGACTCCAATTTTTTTAATAAGTCAAAAAAAAAAATAGAACGCCAGTTACCTTTTTATGAATAATTGATCAATTATTGCCTCTGGATTTTTTTTTTTATATATATTGATTTATTTTTGGGGGATAATATCTTCCGATGACCAAAAACTTGGCTGACAAGTAAGATTTGTAACAGTGAAATTTTGCACTGTCAAAAGAAGTTTAATATTTATCGGCTAGATAGAGCTGGGAAAAGTGGCGGCGGTGTTATGCTCGCTGTGGCTGATAATATTTCTTAATTTCTTGTAAACGTTGCCACGGATCTGGAGATACTGTGGATTTGCATTTGTTTAAATCATCGCAAATATGTTTAGGGCTTTTACTATCGTGCTGCTTCGAGAAGTTCTACCTTTGTTTCTCACCTTCATGACGTCGTCAATGCTGTCACAGTCCGTTTCCCTAACGTTCCAGTCTTACTGTTAGGAGACATTAATTATCCGAACATTACGTGGTCAAACGACGGCCCCTGTTTAAGTACGTTTTCCACAGAATCCAATGACTTTTTAAATCTGTGCGCCGATTTTAACTTCACTCAGGTTGTTACGCAGCCTACTCGGGTTACTTGTTCGTCGGCCACGGTGCTGGACCTTGTGCTGACGACGTCACGCGAGCTTATATCGTCTCTT